ATGTAGGTACCAAGTTGTGACAAGGAAGAAAAATGTGTGGAATAAAAAAGAGTACCACCTTTAGTGGGGAAACAGCTGCATTTTCTGACTCGGAGACACCTCTGCTCTCCTTCAGAGGGGATTGAGTCTTCTTACAAGATCTAGCTACAATCCTGGGCCTGTATTCACAAGTGATAAAAGTAAGTTCTTACTACAAACTGCTCAAAACCAGTCACATTCTGCAGGTAATGTGATATTATGGCAGTTATTTGAGGAAGAATACAACAGTAATCAACTTATTACATATTTTGATGTGATGGCAGATGAGTTAATAAGAATCAAAGAAGACAATTTGAAGAAGAAGACAACTCTGGAATAATACTTCAGATCCACATTTGTTTGACTGTTCAATAACTGCACATTAAATATAATGACCAAATGAAATATTATTATTATTATATTATTATCTGTAAAATATGCACTTAATATTTTACTTTGTTCCATATGTGACACAATTTATTTAATTTGTAAGTGACTTAATTTAAGTTTTAATTCAATGTATTTTATTTGAATTAAATTGCATAAAGCTAATTTAAAATAATTAAACACATTAAAGTAAGAATGAATCATATTTTTTTATTATATTATAATAATTTTATTTAATTATATATTTTTTCATGGGACTTTTTTGAGTGAAAAGTACTTCAATGTGCCATTTAGATTGATATATATCATTATCATTAACATTAAACTTTGGTGTAAAAGACCACATTGCAACAATATGAGGAGACGTTACTGTTGCTTGCTGTAAGGCCAGTCATCAATAAAATCTAACCTCTGATGGGTTGATGGTGTTTTGATGGAGCTACATGCAGGACCTTTGATGACTAGCACACGCCTCATCTTTAATTACAAAAGTGGTAATACATGATACATAAACACCTGTATAAAGTATATGTGATACAGTAAGGTCTGTTTTCATCCTTCATACAATATATTTTCACAGGTTTGAGACCTGAGGATGTGGCCGCTTTGATAAAACATGAGGTCAATGCAGAGGATGCTCACACACTGTTGCTTATGAAAAGGAGCCTTTCATAAAGTCCTCTTTCACACCTTGCTGCCAAGCTGTGGACAAAAAGAGCATTGTTGAAATGCTGCTATTTACATTCCCACGTTCATATTTCTGTGACATGCTACACAATTGAGATTAAAAAATTTCCTGGACAATGGGATAATTGTATGTCAAGCTTTAGATCACATTACGTCCTTATAGTAATCAGTTATATTTTGCCTGGTGGGTGTGCTATAATTAAAATGCAATTGGAATTTTTCAAAAGGCTCCAACTCTCACAGGCACAGAATTTGGTATACATCCAGCTCCTGGCACAAAAAGAGTCTGACAGCACAGCAATTCATCAGTAATGGCCCAAAGAAGCCCATGCATTTACAAAAGCAGAAACACGGGGAAAAATGTCAGCCATTAGTAGTATGAATACCGAATTAATACAGCTATAAGACCTTCAAAATCTGATTGAATAATGATCAGAATTGTCTACAGCAGTGGGACTTTGGCTCAACCTTTAACTTTAAATGTCAGTGTGATATTAGCCAAATAGAATTTACGATGCTTTTCTATGGATAGAAAGTATAGAGGTCTCACTAGTTTACACAATAATGATACAGATGTTTCACAGCGAAAGTGACCCACAGTGGCAAAAGTTCTGGTTGTGCAAGAGTTGAAAAAAAAACATGAACGCCACATGAAATAGGACCAAATCACTACTGCAAACACTGATACAAAAATGGGTCATATTAGGTTGCATGGCAACTAGCAGTATCTTGTTTATGTTCTTTTGCTCAGTGTTTTAATGCCCTGGTTTGATGGTTTTTGCTCTTTCCTTATTCCTATTCTTTCTGTGCATGTTGACTCTGTGTTGGGTGGTGTGGTATAATTATGTTGCTATTTTGGTGAGAAGATTCAGGTTAAACTGAGATTAAATAAAACACAAAATAAAAACGGTCTCCTTATTTCTTTATCCTTTTATGTTTGCCATATGTTGAAGTGTTTTTGACTGATGCACCTGCGTGAACACAAGATGATTTGGCCTCTGTTAGTTGCTTCATGTTGCTTTGAAATATGGTATAGCGCTGATTTCCACATGAAGACTTTTGTAAGAAATGCAGCTAATTGGTATTTAACCTGTAACGTGACCCATCTTTGTTGCTGTTTGTAACTGTGATTAAATGACTTCAGAGTTAAAGACCACCAAGGCATGCCAGGATGCCTTTTCTGACCCAGTAAACTTTAGTCCAACATATATTTGACAAATTATTATTGAAAACCTGTCGTGAAAGATGCAATGACATGCAATGTTGCAATGTGAACTTTAATGGATGTTGCCTTTATCAGTTTATATCTCTTGATTTTCTTAAGTAAAGTATGACATTTGAATCTCACATCCCCTCTCATACAGAGGTTGAGTCATTGTATACAGTTTAATTTAATTGTTTAATGTATACATTACTGAGCTTTAACACCTTGCAACTTGTGGTTTCCTATTTTGAGATTTTGGTTTTCAATACCCAAGGCTATAAAAGCTGCTGTGAGAGTGGATACCCAAAATTTGAAAGCATCAGAGAAAAACACGAGATATGGCAAACAACTACAAATTGATACTTCTGGGCCAAAATATACGGTTTCTGTTGGTATCACAAACTGACTCAAAATGCGACCAAAACTACATCTCAGAGAAGGTCAATTTGAAACATGCATAGCAGGTTTTGTGCCTCACGTAGGACACAACTTATGACTATAGGTGATTAGATATGTAGCGTCAAGCTGTTTGAACCATTGTAGCTCTGACCTCAAACAGCTTTTCAAATTAAATCTGAAGCTCGTCATTGCGGCTCTCTCCTCCCCATGTTTGTTAATTTTGTTGTCTGTTAAACAACCATTGTTGAGCATTATCTTTGTCACATAATATGCCTCATCAACCATGCTTTCACCAGCCATTAGGACAACAGAGCCAGAGTGAAGGCCTCTCCCTTGAAACAGCATCCTTTGTTTATGATCTCTGCAACCCTTGTCTCTTTGCTCTCTCCTTTCATCTCTTCTTCTCCTTTCTTTATCCCACTCTCTACCCTCATTCCCATCTTCTCCCTTTTTTCCTTCAATTATCCATGGCCCCCACTCCTCCTTAATGCTCCCTAACACCCAATCTTCCTCTCCTTTTCTTCCTTATCCTCTCCCCATTTCTTGTTTTGTATGCAAGCCCCAAGGGAGAGAAATGGGTGAAAAGCACTCTCTCTGCACCACTGTCACAAAAGACTGGTGAGTCATCGCCACTTATGTTCCTGTCTCACTCCTCCCACAAAAAAACACACATATACAGGAAAAACACTCAAATTACTCCTTACCTGCCGTGCACTTACAGGAAGACGCGTACAGACACACATATAAGTGAGTGCGCCGGCACACAAACACACGTACACGCACCATTTAGTGACAAACAAGCACGTACACACTCGCACATTCCACAGCTCTGAAAAACAACCCTGAAATTAAAACCCCAGTCACATAATTTAGTTTATCATTGTGGTTAAAAATGGCCTTCATTGATGTGTGCTGCCTATCATGTCTCACAGGATTATGTGGAGTTTGTATAGTGGAAACTCATGTCAGTGAAGAAGTTAACACACAAGGAAGGAGAACTGAATAGAGAGCAGCACATGCAAGATGCTCTTGGACTAGGGGAGACAAAATGAAATAACCGATGGACAAAATAGACAAAAGAGAGGGGAAAAGAGGGAAAGGCAGATAATTCCCTGAGGTAGGGATGTGGCTTTGGTATTGTTTGTCCACCGACAGTTTATGAGCCACAAAGCAAATGCTCTTCCTCCATCTGCTGGAAGAATGAATCACTTACAATGCAGTCATGTTTGCTGCTGTGTGCACAAGATGGCAGTCCTGAATGAACACAATATACAGAATGACTATCTTTTCCATCTTCTATCTTTTAATAATGTGATGAATATTTTTCTCAATTAATCAATTTATTGTTTGCTCTATAAAATGTCATTCGGGAAAATGTCCATCACAGGTTTTCATCTTCATGTTGCTTTCATACATACACAAACACCTGAGAAGGTGGAACGGGGGAACGTTTAGAAATTTTCCTAAATGATCAACTGATTATTAAAATAGTATTGAATATTTTTTTCTGACAAAGAACTAATCTAGGGTTAGGCAACTTGTAGTACATAAGCCGTATGTGCAACAATCATCGACTACTCATTTTGGCTCTAAACCAGTCAATGATGGCAAAACATACAACACATAATACACAAAACTTCTCCTCAATTAGTCAATTGTCAGAAAAATAATTGTCAGCTATTTTGATAATCAATTAATCGTTTATTTTTTTAAAGTATACAATTTCTAAATGTTCCTAAAACTGATTTTCAGCCTATTTTTTGCTTTATTAATGAGTCAACCAATCGTTTCAGCTCTAACCCATTAAACACATTATATACAAAACAGAAAAGTTAGGGAAAGCTAAAAATCTGATGGTCATTAATCATTTATCTTGATATTGAAGGGACATTTTTGAGTTCCAAAAGAAATCTATACTAATGAAATGTTGTGAATAAATATCTGTATCAACAACAAGACAAAGGTAATTGTGCTTTTGATACATTTAATGGATGCTGTGGGAGCACTGTAGGGAACTGTCTGACGTTTTCTAGCTTTTGAATTAGCAGAATTTGTATTGTAGTGCTGGTCTTACTGTAACAGGATTGTTTGCAAAGCAGACTCTACCACAGGGACATCAGAGCCCTCACCTGATTACTCTTTACAGAAACCTGCTTGTGAGCTATTCAGACACATCAAATATTGAAAGCCTGGAGTTTCCGTTTCACACACAGAGAGGGAGGAGAGACAAGAGACAGGCAGACAGAGGAGGAGGACACCCAGGGCAGAGGAAGAGAGAGAAAAAGTCAAAGAACGGTGGGATTAAAAGGAAATAACACATCAGGCACCCTGGGAGGGAGACAAATGAGCAGGGATGGAGGGAGAGAGGGAGGAACAGGAAGAGAGCATGCAAAGGTAAGGCAAGGAGAGTCTGAATGTTTACGCCTAATCAGGTGAGTGTAACAGTAGAGCCTGCGGTGGTGTAATCAGCTGAAGATTGATTGGCTGATAACCTTCTAGTTGGGTGGTTAGGAGGGCATGTTTTTTAATTCTGTTGCTTCTCTCTCAAACCTCAGTGGGACGGCTTCTACCCAGGTTGACACACTGACTCAGAACTGCAGTGAGGAGAGCGACGGGCCTCAAAACCTACAGGAACCAGAGGAGGCCGACCAGACAGTGGGCAGTGGGGCCTGTAATGGAGAGGAAGAAGCCAGCCAGGTCAGATTTGACAGGGAAAATGAACTAATATTTTTATATTACAATCATAATATATACTGTATATTTACATCCATTAGAGTTTATTTAACTCAAAGGAAATAGTAAGCAAGGGACGTCAATGCCAATTTTTGCTCAAGATTTTGCTGTGTTCCGTGGTGGTTGTGATTGATAAAGGCTGGGGAGGATCTATGTATCAGCGACACAGAGACCTTACCACAGGAGACTCTGATAGCCACAAACACACAGGACGATGCTGACTGCCTCCCATTGTCCCCCCTGCCAACAGAGGAAGAGCTGACCCCCCCTTCAGCGTCATCTCATCCTTCCAACACACAGAGTATGTCACACACATGCACATGCACAAATGACTGATATATGGGACGTGTGGGGCCTCCGTTTATGCCTGTAACCAGCACATGCTCATATGTGGTGAAGTACTTTTGTGTTTCTCTCTGTGTTGTCTCACAGATCGCCCGTCTGAACCCTGCTGGTATTGCCTGAGGTCTCTTGACTCAGAGTATCGTCCTGAAACTCCTAAACAGGTTGCAACATTTCTGACTAAACACATTATTTGACTGAGACAGTGCTGATCAGATACACTGAGAAGTGGAAAAGCTGTGTCAACTAATTTTCTTTCTAATTTCATTGCACAAACAAAAAATTAATTGATGGCCACTTTAACTTTGATGGGCAATAAAAAATAACATTAGCGCAAAGCAATGTTACCTTTTTAAGAATACATGAGCTCCTGTGGTAAAAGGAAGACAGGTTTTACAGGGAATTTATGTCTTTTTTATGATAATAAACTTTTTACTGTTTGTTACATTACATTTATTCAGCTGACACTTTTATCCAAAGAGACTTACATTCAAGTGCATTCAACCATGACGATATAATCCAACAATTGCAAGAATCATGCAAGTTTCAACTTCATCAAATATGCTGAACTGCTACAAGCGCACCATTTAGAAACAATAAGAGATGGAGAAAGAGTTTTTTTTAACAGACCACAGTGCAGTCTGAACAGATGAGTTTCAGTCTGCGACGGGAGATGTGTAGAGTTTCTTCTGTCCTGATGTCGATGGGGGGATCATTGTGTTTGTGTGGGTTTTTTTTCACAGTAATAAAACTGAAATGTTAATTTATATAGATCCATAATACTTAGAATGTCACTTAGTCTTGTAGCACATGTGTCAGCTGGAATTAATTGTTGTAAGAAAATACTTCAAAAGGACAATAAGTTATAAAATTCTATAAGTGATAAGTGACAAGACTGCAACTGACAGTAAAATATACTAATTGTGGAACATAAAGTATAAATACTATACTGTCTGTGGCTGAAATGTGGTATGCATCCAGTGCAGAAAAACATACAATTGTCAAAGCTTCGCCATTTAAGGAATGACTTAACAGAGAACCAGAAGGAATGTCATTATGATAATCTTTTCATCTGCACCTTCTTATAAAGCTAATTTTCCCACCGCTTAAGTCAAATAATTTGCTTAACCATCCTCAATAACTACAAAAAGAGACTTTAAGCTGGAACGCTGAGTATCAAAACTTGAATTCATGATGACAGTAACACTTTCTGGAGTTGGTCCACTGAGACATTATTATATGATTCCTGTGCTTGAGTTATGCCATCCAGTTTAGTTTCCTCTGAATGTAAAGCAGGCTGTTATGAGCTCAGTATATCCCAGTAAAATCATTATTGTTCATCATCAAACTCACATCTCAAAGCTGTGCTGTAAAATATCCTGCACAGTTCTATTTTAGGGCAGACTTTCCCATTATGGTAACAACTCTCGCCTGTTGCTGTGTTGCAGGAAGACTCCAATCCTTTGTCACCCCTTCCCTCTAGTGGCCAGAAAGTGAGCTACCAGACAGACCCTCGACCCCATTTTGGTGTAGCTTGGTCCTCCCACTCCACATGTCGCCCTTTGTGGGGCAGCGAGGGGCCCTGCTGGGGGCAAAGAAACCAGGAAGTGCCCGATCAGACGCACACCTGCCCTCACTGCCATCTGGGGCTGCCCCCTGACACACTGCGTTGGCATGAGGTTGGCACAGGCACTTGTAAACACACACAGACATAAATAGAGATAAGCTCACAGTTTCCACCAATCACACCACAGCTTCCACTCTTGTTTACTATAGAGCCTCTGTTCTTTCTCCCTGCACAGGCCAAGTGTCTACTGTTTGAAGGGCTGAGGAACTCAAAGAAGTAAATGGAGTCGTCATCAGTGAAAAATGTTGCTAGAATTTTGTAAAATATAATGCTGTCTACTCTGTGTATTCATGCTCTCAGGAAATACTTTGCACCTAAAAGTTATGTGCAATATCTGTCTCTGCTAGTAAAGAACTATATGTTAACACCCAAGTTAGCCATGCTCCTTTCTTATTTCGTTTCATGTTTAATTTCTGTGGTATTTTTAATGAAGTGTTACATATACAAATAAACTGCAGTTGTACAAATCAGTCCGTTTTCTTTGTTTTGTAATTGTTTTGAAACATTGTTTGGTATAAGGTGCCCTTCATAATGGACTTAGAAGTTGTAAATAATGGCTTTATTAATAGTTATTAAGTCATGTTTTTTACATTAATTATGAGCCGTTAAAGAACATATTTGGGGTTGCCAGGTTGAGAACAAAATCCCATCCTTTCTTTATGGTAAAAATTAAGTTGGTACTCCCATAGTAAATCCATCATGTCTGCCGTTATAAACATTTATAAGTTAAGGAGTGTTAATAAGCACCTCAATAGCAACTTTTTTCAACTTAATCATGGCTAGGGTTGTTTTCTACTTCCCTATTCATATTATTTACTAATATTGTCCCAGGATTTCTAATCCCAGTCCACTCCTTTATTGTGTGTTGTTTGGTTTTTCTTACATCCTGGTTGTTTTGTTTGTTTGTTTGTGGCTTCACAACAGCATGACCTGTGATGCAGTCTGTGTAGATGGGGAGGGAAGGGTTTCTAGGGATCTCTGGCTCCTTATTTGTTTGGACTTTTGATCGTGTAACCTCTGCTTTTCTGAGAGCTGCCCTTTGCTTTCCATTTTATTAGAAAACAATTGCACAGGTCCACTCTCTTTAAAAGAAGTTTAAAAGAAAAGTACAGTCCAACAATGAAACCAGTCAACCTGGCAACCCTCACTGATATTCTGAATGAGTTGTAACAATATAAAACATTCATAAATTACTTTTTAACAAGGAGCAATTAGTTACTATGTATAAACCCTTTATAAAATGAGCCTTATGAGAAAGTGGTACCAACTGTTGGTAGGTGTCAATTAATTTATTTGTGTTTTTATGTTTGCAAACCAGATTTCTTTAAAGATTTAATAAAATTCAATGATATCAACTCAATTCAAATAAAGTATTTTGAATTGAACTGAATGGGGAACTCAACTCAGAACTGAATGCTTGTGAGGCCACAATAGAACCCAATAGAACATTCTGTGGTGGTCATATTTTGGAAATATTAATAAAATCTGTGGAATTAACCACTCACACAGACAGCTGTATTTTTTGACAGCTCCAGTGATAATACAGGCTACAGCAGCCCCTCTTGAAATCCAACACTTAACCATACTCTCTGGAATTATTCAAACAAAAATGGATGAGGAGTTTGTCCCACTTCGAAACAGAGAAAACTGCAGTCAGGAGGATGGTTTTGCTGGAGCTGATGAGGACAGCGTAGAAGAGATGGAAGAAGAGGATTCAGATCTCAGTGATGAAGGTTATAAGTGTGGCTCAGAGGGGGAGAGCGGCTGGGGGTCACTTCCTGATGTGTGTTTGAGGCAAGTGTTTGGCTTTCTTCCTGACACTGATCGCTGTCGTGCAGACCTGGTATGCCATCACTGGCACCGTGTCATGCGCTCTCCTTCTCTCTGGCGCTCCCGCTTCTTCCACTTCAATGGACGGCTGTCTAAATACAAGCAGTCTGAATACTGCTCTGCTGTGGCCTATGCCCGTTCTCTGGGAGTCTACCTGGAGAGGCTGGAGGTGTGTGTGTGTCCTCCACGTAGGTGCTTGGTAGCCCGGCGACTTGAGCTAGCCATCAGCGGGTTGTTGTCTGAGCTGACCAGGTAAAGGAGTGTAGTTCACCCAACACACAATTCAGCACCTCAATAACTCCCCAAACTGAGCATTGTTTTGTCTCCACAGAGTAAATGCCCCCCTGCAGCATTTGTCCCTCGTAAGGCTGGAGTTGGATAGGACCTCCTGGACTTTAGGGCTCAGGAACTCTTTAGTACACTGCCTGATTCTCTTCCTCCGCAGAGGATCCTCAAAGCTCACATCTCTTTGTCTGAGCGGGATGCGAAACTGCATGCATCATGTGAGTGCAACGCCAGTCAAAATATAATGTATCAGCAGATATGTCACCGCCACGGGTGCTTCACCAAGATGCCAGTGGTAATGAAAAGATAAGTCAGATCTCGTCAGTTGAGGTCTGGAACTTGAGGTGTGTCAGTGTACTGAATCATCAGTTTACAGTGAAGATCTCCACACTGGTGACTGACAATGCCACTGACTGCTCATTCATTATTTACAGTGTTACATTCTGGAAAAAAGCTTGCAGAAATACAGCAATATCCACAGACACAATCAAGATGCAATAGCCCTGTTACAGATATGGTGTTTGTTGAGCTACTAACATTATAAATAGTGTTCGTTTTGAAGGGATTGGTACCTGATTCTGTGCAAGTCCACCTTAAATCCAACATGCCACTCCTTCTGCACCAACTGCACCCCAAAGTCCTGAAAATGTTTTTTTACATTAACTTAACTTCTGTGTATAATTTATCATCTTCTGCATAAAGTAATATATACATTAGTATAATATTTTAGGACTTTGGGGGTTTGTAATGTGATAATATGATTTCTAGGTGTAAAAAAAAGAACTACATAGTAACTACAAATCTTATAACTGCACTAATCTAAAGGATTTAAATCAGCAAAGTGATTCCACAATTTCCACATATACTTAGTAATGTTTTATTTTTTAATAATTTGAATAATTAAGAATTTTTTGAGCTGTGTCTTGAAAGTAGAAAGGTACTATTGTGACAATGTAATGTTCATTGTGAATCATTAAACATCCACCATTAACCTGTATTCAGTAACAACCATATTAATTGCAGTTTTTAAATATCTGCTCTGTTTCTGATTCCTGATCCTTTAACCTCTAGGGTCTGGACCTGCTCACTGCCCTGTCATACTCTCAGAGGCGTCACTACCCCCGGTGCTATATCTTGTCTCTGGATATAAAGGGATTCTTTTCTGCTTCTGTGCACGCCCACCGTAACGCCACCTTGCAGCTTACGATGTCCCGCCTGCAAGGCCTCACCAACCTAAACCTGAGTTACGCCTGCCTGTCTGATGAGCTGCTAGCGGTTCTCCAGCACAGACGCAGGGAATGGAGACGCTCAAGCAGAGAGGGGAACACCTTGCAAACATTTTCACTGTACTGCACTTTGAATGAGCCCCATCGACAGGTAAGAACGAAATAAATGTAATTACTGGACTATCCTCAACAAAATCAGTTGGTTGAAGTGCGATGGCACCAAGGTTCAGCTTTGGGGAACAGAGTGCAATGTACAAAGGCACATATGCCTGCATGATCCGTACAGTGAAATCATTTTGTCAACTTATCCACTAAGTGAAATGTTTCTCTTGGCGGGACAGTAGTGAAGGTGCTGTGAGATTAGTGTAAAAGTCTTGGGTGTGAGCACATGCTGAAATGGCAAAAAGTGAAGAAAAAAATAAAATCCCACTGGTGAAAATAAGACCCCCTCAGGTTTCCTTTGTTAATTGCTGTCTCTGCTTCATCCTCTCTGTCAAGGTTGTGAGTGGTGGCTCATGGGCAACATTGACATCAAGCTGCCCAGACCTGAAAGTCAAGCTTACGGTGGACCAAGTCATCAACACTAACTGGCTTGCAAGGATACTGCTGCCTGAGATTCCCCTGACTGAATATACCATGACAGCTTTCTACTCCCCAGACGAAGTCTGGAGCGCCAAGCCTCTCCTCTGTTACATGCTGCCTCAGTACAGAAGCAGTCTGAAGGTCAGGGTGCTGAGCAGGCACTATTTTAGAGAGCAAAGCGTAGAGAGATGGTGTTAAACTGAAGAACATGTGAAACATTTTTTTATTTTATTTGCTGAAGTTTGGAGGTAAAAAGTTTAAAGTAGTTCTCTGTATGTTCACAAAGAGATCTCTTGTTAGTCACAAGTATCCATGTCATCACATCTGGGAGGTGCTGATCTTCTTTAACAATATCAGTTGGTCTATCTGTTCACCACTTGGGTCCAGACTCAAGTATCCCAACAATTATTTATTTAATGGATTGCTGTGAAATTTCAAACATATATTCATGGTTCCTAGAGGATGACTCCTACGGATTTTTGTGATCCTTTGACTTTCCCCTAATGCCACTAGCAGGTTGCCAGTTTTGGCTTTTAAGTGAAATGTCTCAATAACTATTAGACGGCTTACCATAAGATTTGGTACAGATGTTCATGCCCCCTGACTTGTCTTCTTGTGCCACTGGAGTTGACATTTGTGTTTTTAGTGGCAGGTCTGGGTGGATTATTATTATGAAATTTTGTTTAGATGGTGTCCAGAGGGTAAATTCTAACGCCTTTGGTGATCCCGTGACTTTTCCTCTGGCGCCATTAGCAGGTCAAAGTTTCACATATCCTGTGAACTATGTCAACATCTGGATGTATTTGTACTAAATTGTGTTCCTCTGTCTCAACAACTATTCGACGGATTGCCATGAAGATGGGTACACAAATTCATGTCCCCCTCAGAATTAATTATAATTATAATTAATAATTAACGAACCTCTGACTTTATATTTAGCGCCATTATCAGGTCAAAATTTGACTTTGTCCAATATTTTGGTTTATGCCCAAATGGTCTTAAAAACTAATGACATTCCCATGAGCCTCAGCTTTACTGTCATTGTGATTGATTTGATTAGCTCAAAGCACCACTGTGCCTAAGTACAGCCACACAGCTGCTAGTTTAAATATAACTGATTTCACCACACCGAATGCCACTGAACACATTTTTTGGCACAAAATTGAATTCTTGACCTTAAAACACTAGCTTTTTCCAGAGCTTTCAACCGCATCTCACTGACATGCTGAGATGCAACTGAAAGCTCTGATAAAAGAGTCGATTGGTACGATTTTTTTGTGTTACCAAGTCTTGAATCCTGACACCAAAGCTATCTGGCTGGGATGGATTATAAAGATAAACAAGCAAAAATAGCCACACCATTTGGTCATTGGACAGTTTGTTTCCTGTTGCTTTATTGGTGTACTGGATTAACTGGATTCAACAACAGTGTTTTGTCACAATTTGTTATCTTTGTTTTAAATAGAGGGGCAGATGATGAATTAAGTTTTATGGATATTTTAAAGTCTATACAGCACATTTTAAGGTAGTTATAATGAATTACAAGTTATGCTGGGAGCAAAGAACACAGCAGGAAATAGTGCTGTGGAAAAGAACCAATTAACTTCAATCCAATTAGAACCTCAAAACAATGTGAATGAGTGTTGTAGGTAATCTGTATCTTATCTGTCCGTAGCATTTGACCCTGGACCTGAGCAACTGCAGTGACTCGCTGGATGAGGAGCTGTTGGAACTGGTTAAGGTGTGTGAGCGTCTGGAGCAGCTGAGAATCTGGGCTTTCCTGGAAATCAGCACTGTGGAGAGGCTGCTGCACATCAGACTGACACAGAGGAGCTTACTCAACAAGATCAGAGTGAGAAAAAAAAAAGATCAATACTGCCAGAATCTGCACATGTATCGTAATATACAGACCATGATAATGCTTGTGTTGATCTTTATGTCTTCAGGTGAGAATCTACTCAGTAAACGACGACATCGGAGAACAGGAAGACCAGCTAGAGGAAATATTGTCTTCCCACCCGCATCTCCCTCCTGAACTGGAGTTTTATGCTATCATATACCCCTTTGTTGATCAGTGATCACATGCAAAGTTGACAAGTGCATACTGAAAAAATAAAAAAACATTAAGCATGAAGCCTTTGTCTTACAAATCAATTAACCAAATGAACAATAATTAGTCATTTTAGTTTTGACACTGACTGACTCCGTTCCTGTCTGTGTTTTTCTCAGGGGGGTGGGGGTTGTGGGCGTGTGTAGAGACACTGACCTACTTTCATTGTAAAGGGTTATCGGGGAGGCGTGTTTGTGTGTGTGTATGCTCTGGCATGGCCAGAGCACTATTTAAGGGAACAGGGATTAAGAGCCCATAGCAATATACTAAACTCTTGATTGCGTGGCTTGTGACACACAAGGCTTTTAAGGTTTAAGGTTTTAATCTTATTAATTTAATTTAATTATAACAATATTATTTGGCTCTCACAGTAAGTATTACAGTACAAATCACTGTATTGTGGTATCTCAATATCCCTCCATTATTATATAGGCCCACTTACTCTGCATACTTGTACAATGAATATGTGTGTGCGTGTGTGTGTGTGTGTGTGTGTGTGTGTACTTTTATATATATAAATATTCAATGTACAGTTAATTCCTATTCATCCCTCACTCTTTACAGACTGATGCAAACATTTATTAGATCACAGAAGACGAAGTGTCTTCTGAGAAAATTTATATTTATATATATTTTAAAGAAAAGGTACATAATATTGTTGTTAAAAAAAAACAAAAAAAAAACAGCATCCTGCACGTTATAGGTCGCCAAAAATCATGCAGAGTCACATGACATGAGTTATAGCATTAGGCAGCATGGTGAGCCAATGGCTTGCCCCATCACCTGACCGCTATTTGAATATTGATGCTCCCTCGGCCGTCACATTGGTGCGCCTTCCTGTGTTGTTGTTGTGTGACATTGCACATCACCAAAGTGGGAGATTCCTGTAAACAGCACCGACGACCAAAATGTCCTCGCTGCTGAAGCCGTTTTCGGTGTGTGAGGGGCCGTGCGAGAGCGGCGGTGTCAGGAGAGGATGCCCGAGCTCGGCTCCCGATCAGCCGCCTCCATCCCGGCGTCTGGCCGCCGCCGCCGCGGCGGGGCTGGGCTCTCTGCCGGCCCACCAGCGGTCGTACGCGCTGAGGAGAAACCTGGCGGCTGCTGCGGTCGGAGGGAGGAAAATAACGCATCCAGGAAAGGCCATTCTTGCAGGTTGATTTGCAACGCAAATATTCATCCCGCAGATTTCCCGATGTCATAGTCGCCTATTGCTTTCTGCACAGCGCAGCCTAATCTCAGTCTGTCGCCCATTAAGGCTATCCATGCAGAACTGGGTCAAAACACACTCAGCCAGCAGTGATATTACAACAGTTATAGGTGTATTCTCCTTTATTCATCTACTATTGCGCTCAGATAATGATTATTATTCATTTGAATTAATCTAAAGACATCTATAAAGATGCTGAAATGTTTATGCTGTGTATTGAATAGAGTATATTCAGTAGCTGTCAGCTGTTCTTTCTAGCTCAATATGGGCACTGCTGTGTAATCACACCACATTAGCATTTAATTAAAACACAAAGATATGTCAGGAATGAGCTAGCATCAGCACCACCCTGCAATTCAGGGTCCATCTAATCTTTTTTTTTACACTAAAATAGAAATGCTTGCAAGTTCCTCCTGACAGAACATTCAAGAACAATCCTGCACAGTGAGTCAACGAATCCAGACAGCAGTGTTTCTCTCCTCTCACTCAGGTGGCATTGCAGGAGGAATAGAGATCTGCATCACCTTCCCTACAGAATATGTCAAGACCCAGCTGCAGCTCGATGAGAGAGCCAACCCGCCGCGATACAGAGGGATTGGTAGGTCACTGGGACAAGAGTGACTGCTGGCTGACTGCAGGTTTGTGTGCTAGTCTTACACTGGATTACTCACTCATGGATGGTCTGTGTGTTTGTGTGTAGGGGACTGTGTGAAGTTGACTGTGCAGGATCACGGACTCAGAGGGTTGTATCGAGGTCTCAGCTCCCTGCTCTATGGATCAATACCCAAGTCTGCAGTGAGGTGAAGATGCAAACATGATATACTGTGGCTTTTACTCTACAGATTTTTATGTAAAAAATATTTATTATAGCCTAAAAAAACAGAATGGAGCTGCAACACATTTGGTTTATAGCATCACAGATCAGCAGGGTTGCAAACTCGGGATTAATTTAACATTTCTCTGTACTTAATTTAAAGACAGACGCATTTGTAGGGCTGCAATGATGATGATTATTTAAAATCTGCAAATTATTTTCTCAAATTATTGACTATTGTTTGGCCTATAAAACATGAAAATGGTATGGTAAGTTCTAAGAGCTCAAGTGGTCGCATCAAATGTCATATTTTTTTCTCAAACAACTGTCAACCTAAAATCTTTAATTAACTTTAATGTTAAGAAAAGAAAAAATAAGCTCATTCTCACATTTGAGAAACTGTTACCATCAAATCTGTTTTTTTAAGGATGAGTCAGTTATCGAGATATCAAGTTATCATTTTCTAACCAATTAATCAACTATACCACTGCTTACTTACTGGAGCTGGTTTACTGATACTACAGTTACTACTATACTTCAGTTATTTGGATTACAGTGGAATCTCTCCTATTGTTGCTTATTTTGACCCTAGTTATTCTTGAATGTATCACATTACCACATTTCACAGGTTTGGCACGTTTGAGATGCTCAGCAACCCGATGCGAGATGCCACCGGTCGGCTAGACAACACGCGGAGCCTTGTGTGCGGTTTAGGGGCAGGTATAGCAGAGGCTGTCCTGGTTGTCTGCCCCATGGAGACACTCAAGGTCGGTGGAGCTGGATGCTGTTACACATCTCTTCTACTGTAGAGAGCTCTTTCCACATCTGTTTGTTTCATATTTTATTCATAATGATCTGAATGGACCTGATGAAATTAAGTTCTTCGCTCGTCCCTCAGGTGAAGATGATCCATGACCAGTGTTCACTCAGGCCTCGCTACAGAGGCTTCTTTCACGGAGTCAGTGAGATTATCAGAGAACAGGGTAAGACGATAGCATGGATCAATCAATTGGCTACTGGTAATGATAGCTGAGTCTGTAACTGCCAATATGCATGTGGTTTGTGCTCCATGATGAAACACATCTGTCTGACTCATTTAGGTGTGAGGGGGACGTATCAAGGTCTGACAGCGACTGTGCTGAAACAGGGATCCAATCAGGCTATCCGATTCTATGTGATGAACTTGCTGCGCAATTGGTACAAAGGTGAGACAGCGTACTTACTGCAAAGACACAAAATCCAATGCCTCTGTCCAATTGATTAATGCATAGTCATCCTTTATTGATCCATGCAGAATAATTAATTCTCAGCATTTGACACATCCTAAGTAATAGGAGGAGTGGGCAGCCACTGTGCGGCGCCTGGGGACAAACTCCAGATCTAAGAATTAACCTAACATACATGTCTTGTATGTGTTGGATTTGGTCTGTAAGGTGATGATCCCAGACGAGAAATGCACCCAATTGTAACAGCGATGTTCGGAGCGACGGCGGGGGCTGCCAGCGTCTTTGGAAACACGCCTCTGGATGTGGTGAAGACCAGGATGCAGGTAGGAAACACACCCTGTGATGATTTTAATTGCTGTCATCCGGTCTGCCATTTTAAAGACACTCTTGTTTGTAGGGTTTGGAGGCCCATCGCTACAAAAACACAGTGGACTGTGCCTTCCAGATATTAAAGCATGAAGGACCACAGGCGTGAGTAACCCTGATCCTGATGCATGCTGTGTATGTTTCACTATTACAGACAGGCCATATAACCCCATCTTATCTTGTCCTTCCCGTAGCTTTTACAAAGGAACAGTTCCCAGGCTTGGCCGGGTGTGCTTGGACGTGGCCATAGTCTTTGTCATCTACGAGGAGGTAGTCAAACTACTTAACAATGTGTGGAAGACCCAGTAGACAGACCAGATGGGTGACTGAGGTCCAGAGGGAAGCACAGACCAGTGCCTCATTGCTACGCACAACTGAACACCTCTATTCTTTGTACTAGCTCTCTGCATTGCCCTGAGCAGCATTTCATCTTCATCAGTTTCCACTCTATTACATAAATGAAATGATTTGCAGGATGTATCCTGAACACGGTGATAAAAAAAAGTGAGTGGATGTAAGCTCAGTTTAGCATTGCTCTTCTTACTTTCTTGTGGTCAGACTAAGGCATCAAGAGGAATTATTTTATTTTGAAGGAGACAGGAAAAGGCAAAGTGAAATGAAGTAATGAAATGTGTTATTCTGTGCGCCTGACCAAACTTGTAGACTCAATTTCTTGAGTCTTATTACCAGAAACATTATTTAGAGAAGAAACACACATATTATTAACCAAAGGTTCAAATTAGAGAGAAAAATAACTTGAGTAGGTTAAAAAAGGGACCTTATTTATGTCTGATGTTTTAACTTTAAATGACTGTTGTTACCGTACATGTTGTAGAGTGAACACTTTGTACTGAAACCATAAATGTGTCTTTCAATTCACTGAGTACTTACTATACTGAGCGAAGAAACAAGAGATGCTACTGGAGACAAACAATCTTGCCACAGTACTTTAAAATGTCCGCGCAGTACTTCAACACATCTCGGTGTTGTAATTGCTTACTTGACTGTGCTTGTGGTCTCATCGCACTGAAACATTCACAGTATTTACTGGCTGATGATTAACCTTAGATACTGTTCATTGTGCTTTTTGTGGCTGCTGCTGATATCAAGAGTATGGCTGCATGAATCCTTTGATGGCTCCTCGAGGCTATACGAACCGGTCTTGAGTCGGTACCTATCCGGCAGATTGTTAACAAGTAGCTGTTAAGCACATGTTGTAGGAAACAAATCCACATGTAGCACAACCTTCACATGCAGTCTTAAGAGTAGGAGATGCGAGTCGGTTTATAGTTAGTGAAAAGTTGCTACATTTTCAACATCAGACAAGCATGTGAAGGCTTTATTTGGAAATATATGACCAGTAATGCTTTGCTCAGAGCCTGAGTCAGGCTGCTGTTTCCAAGCAGGTGCAGCCTGAAGTATAAAAGTGAATCCAACAACAGTAAACATGTCCGACTATGTAAGCCATGTGATTTCAATGAGCTTGAGCCTTCGGTGGTTTTCTCATGCTTATTGATTCACTCATCAAACTGTCCTCTTGTCTGATATTATGCCACTTTAATATTATTTGTTTACCTCAAGCTAATTTGCTTTGTAAGCTTTTTGTATGCTGATGAAATTGTATATTTGCCATCTTTAAATGCACTCATTCTTGTCTAATATAGTGTTTACATGTGTTGAACGACATTACAGGGACAGTAGATATGTCAGAGGCTTGATAACAAATAACTAGTGTGTAAGCAAGGCTTGGTTTTGATTGACCCAGTGGCACCATATAGCCTTGCACAGAAGCCTTTTACTCCTCTTTGCCAAACTACTTCAGTATAATCTAATGTTATAACCCTGATAGCAGCAAATCTTTATTACATTTTAAACCAAGAGCATCAGAATATTGTTTCATTTTTATGTCTCTAGCATTTTGTTTTCATTAACACACATTTTTACTGTTTAGACTCTTTTACTTGTTTATGCTTTGCTGATTTTCATGAACAGGCATGTGTATCTCGGCGTATAGCATATCAGACTCGGTGTGATCATTCACATTTCAGAGGGTCCCGTTGAGCAGAGGGAAGGATTAATTTGTGTTGAAGAAATATGTTGGTATGACATCAGAAAAGAAATATTGTTAAAAAACATCAGTGCTCCCAGTATGCTTTACTGTACATGATCATATGTGGAAGCCCTTGATGAAACATATTAAGACCTGGTTTCAATAAACTTGTGATTAATAAACCTGATCTGTGTGACCCAGTGGTGTTAAGACATCAGATAATTTAAATAAATGGATTTACTCAGATGTGGAAACAATTGTAGGACATGGGTGTGTGTGACTATAGAGAAGGGACAACGTTTATTTCTTGCCTCTTCTTGTAATCAACAGGAAATATTCTTATTACTTACAACCATGATGGCTCACTGAAGCAGCACCTAATGTCAGCTGTAAGGGGGACGGCAGAGGCAGGCCTTTATCTTATCCCTCACACTGACTTCAAAGTTCCCGCTAAGTAAATTTTAGCTCTAGCAAATGTCCAGTAACATGACATCAGTGGACAGTTTAAAGTGGCCACAGAAAAGTCAAAAGTTTATGTATCTGAACTGGATGCAAATAAAGATAAAACTGCTACTGGCAGAATTTCTTTAGTATTAAAACAAGTACAAAAACATTTATCTGTATAGTGACAAACAGAAAATAGAATCTATTATTAAACTAAATGGAAGAGTATGAATTGATATCAGGCAGGTGATGTAAAATACAATTTATCTGGTTTGGCTTGACAAGATAAAAATTGTGCTGTAAATATTTATTCAAATTAAATATTCACAAAGCCAGTTATATACAGAAAATACAAACTGGTTATTTTAAATGATGAACCTGGTTATTTCCACAGTGGGATCTGAGAGTTCTGGTGACACTTGGCTTCCCCTCAGCAGCGAAAAGAAAAATCAGCAGGTTGAAGCTTTGCTGATTTGCAGGACAGAGAAGATTAAAGGCTGAAGGAGCAGGGCGAGCGCAGTCGGCATTAACATCACAGAGGAAGGTATTAGCACTCCCACCTGTTGCCCCGCCGGTCCACCTGTCACCTACAGTTTATAGTTCATCTTGTAAGGCTTAAGGTAAGGAAGGGGACACTCCTGCTGAGAAATGCATCAGTTTTCCTTATGTGCTGCTTAAATCCTGTGCATCTCATTTTATTTCTTCAGAATATATTCTGTAATCAGAATTTGAAGCAGTAGGTTATGAATTCATTTTTAAATAAATAACCTTGTTTATGGTTTCTGAATGTGGGTGTGGAACTATAACAAGGCTTTCAACTTATAAGTTCTTTACACGTCGGGGCCCCCCAATGTGTAAAAAACAATATGTGCATGAACTCAGCTAAACACTTTTACAGTGTTACATTGTTAATATTCCCACAGGTGTTTCCAACTTTAAGAGGGCATTTGCATCATTACAGGACCAAGACTTCTTTGACACGACGCCATTGTTGACTGTAATTAAGCCAAATGGAGCCTCCCTCGCTCCAGCTGTCAGGCTTCTTGGCAGCAGAAGATGTGAAATTATCTGTTGAAGTTAGGAGAGTGGAAGACAGGTGTGGCTATCTTCTCCATCTGGGAAAGCAACACAAGGAAATAGGTTTAGGTTTGTGTAAACGCAGTTAGCTAACTTTAACTGATAGAAAAAGATAAAAGATGATGTCTTGGCATTACACTCACATTCTGAGACACTTGTCTTTCCCGCCACTGGCTACTCTTTGTCCATCGGGACTCCAGTCCACCGCATAAACCTACACGCACAAGAAACAAGGACAAAAAATTACAATCCACACACAGCTATCAAGAAGGAGGACGTATTCCCCCTTTACTCACCTCATCAGCATGGCCAGGTAGGTCCATGTTGAGCTTCCCAGTCTTGATGTCCCAGACTTTAAGTGTGCTGTCGCTGCTGCCACTGACCAGCAGCCTGCTGTCTGCAGACCACGCCACTTGATACACGGACGCCACATGGCCACGCAGGGACATTAAGTACCTTTGGATGAATGGACAAGCAGGCAGAGATATAGGTACACAGTGACACACACATACAAAAATCTTAGGCCTACAGCACCTTCTCCTGGACAACAGTGGGATTACACATAGATTCATTTATGATCTACTAGACAAAATTAGCTTTGTTGTTCTTAGTGGTTGAGAGGTTTTCTTACTTTCCAGTGCGTCCATCCCAGATTTTAATGGACTTATCGAATGAGGCAGAGGCGAGGAGCCTGGTGTCTGGGGAGAAAAGCACCTCGTTGACCAGAGCGCTGTGGCCAGTCATCCTGGCCAGAGGCTTCTTGTCTTCTGCAGGGTTCCACAGGAACAAGGTGAAATCATCTGAGCCAGACACCAAGCGCTCTGGAGCTGAACCCTGCAGCACGAGAACAGGAGTGAAGGCACAGATACAAGGGAGGTACAGACTCGGAACACATCAGTACAGAAGACAAACAGTACTTACCCTAACTTTATTATATCTCTGCAGAGCTTGGTTCTTCAGTTCCTCCACTGGGGGAAAACAAAATGCTTGTTAGATGAAAACATCCTCTTGCAAACATCGTCAAGATGTCTTCATCGTTTTCCTCGACACCTATTGTGTCCCAAAAGAGTGTTACATAATTCTTACATGATCCAGTGAGGTCCTGGGGGTTGATAGTGGCAGTTGCGGGTTCAAAAGCTCCAGTGCGCAGGACGTAGTCTGTGCTGAGAGCCAAGGTGTTCACCCAGTGGGCGTGACCCTGCAGAGTCCTGCACTGGACACCCTATACACACACACACAAATATAAATAGACACACATTAAGTTTTGCTTTGACATGCAGATGTCTTCCTCTCAATCAACTCAGTATGTCCGCAAAGATCAACATTTTCTGCCTCAGCCACACACACAAACACACACACACACACACACACACACACACACACACTTACATCTTTGGCTCTCCAGACTTTGACTGTTCTGTCCTGGGAAGAAGTGTATAGAAGTCCATCTCCTCCCCACTTCACACAGGTGACTGACTGAGTGTGTCCAGTCAGGATTTTCTCACATCGCCCCAACACAGTGTCCCAGACTCTTATTGAGCCGTCCTTTGAGCTACTGGCTAAGTACCGACACTCTGGGTTACTGAAGAGGAGAGGGAAGGGGCGGATCAGAGAAAATTAGAGCATAATCTTTAAGTCCCAATTCAAAATCAATTTGTTAGCATGCAAATAACTACAACTTCCACGAAAATGTCCATCAGCACTCTCTTCTAAACTCTGTTCTCTAAAAAGATATACACGGTTCGCTCCTCTCTGTCCTGCCGTTATTACTGACACGTCTGAACTATCCACGGCCCCTCTACTCGCATCTTCTGTTGAAATGGTGAAATTGTAGTATTTATGCCTGTGTTTTTCCTAATGTGACATGTCAAAATGGCCAAAGGCCAATAGTTGTTGTACTTTTACAGTTTCACAAGTAGAAGTACAGAGGCTGCATCTGAATGAGAGTTCATATCAGTAGTAAAATAGGCGGCAACGAACAGAAGCGAGAAAGTTACGAATTGAGCGCTTACAGATGGAGAGGTTCCCAGCAGAGCCATGTGATCCACTTGGTGTGTCCTGTCAAAGTTTTCCCCATCTGTGCCCCTGTCACAGGATCCCACAGACAGATCTACTCAAACAGCACCAGAAAAGAAAAGAAATGAAAAGATAAATACACCAAAGTTCATGGGATACATCTTAAAAACACAGATCAGAAGTGTGTGTGTCTGTGTGTGTGTGTGTGTGTGTGTCAGAGGCTCACCTGACTGTTCTTGCACCCTGAAGCCAGCTTCTTGCCATCAGGTGACCAGGCGATGCTCAGTACCCAATGTGTGTGTCCTGAAATAAAGTAGAATACAACTCAACAGGTGTATACAACCAGTAAATCATTTGTATCTCGATGCACAGCAGATCATGCTGCCCTACAGAAGTGACCTGATACCTCTGGCAGTGTGGTGAGGGGTCTCAGTCATCAAGTCCCAAAACCGCACTGTGGTATCACCTGAACCGCTGGCCAGATATCTGAAACAAACCCAGGGGTGTGTCTTCATCACAAAATGTACAGTTTGATTCCCTCTGACTGTTGTTATATCATCAGGAGCAGTGTGTGACAGCTGCCTCACTGAACTGCTTCAGAGCTGCTGCTGCTGCCAGCCCTATCTTTCTATACCGAGTTGCATTTGATAAATACAGTACAATGGAAAAAAGCACGACAAACAAGCCCTGTTTCAGAGTTACTCACTTGCCGGTGGGGCTGAAAGCAGTTGAGATGACAGCCTCTGTGTGTCCCTGCAGTGTGCTGGTACAGCGGGCCACAGCTCGAACCCTGAACACGGCCTGAGGCTGGTACACCACTGGCAGAACTTGTTCTGTCTCAACCCCAAGAGCCTTCACACAAGACCCCAGACTGGACACCACCTCAGCCTCTCCACGCACAAAAAATGCCAGAGGCACTGGCTCTTCCTACCGAAGATAACAGCAAAAAAACAATACAAGATATATTCACTGGATTTTGAAGCTTTATAATAGTAACTGTGCCTGACAGAGGTTAAAACAAAAACCAATGTGTGACATGTGAGGTCTTTGAGAGATGACGTCTTTGTAGGTGTTTGTGTCTTCTAAAATTCAGGAATAAGGACATCTCCATTCGATTACTTGAATACCATTATTAAAATATGGGGTTTGGGAACTGTATTTCCACTGTAGCATATATATATATATATATATATATATATACACACATACATACATACACACACACAGTAATATTAATTTCACAGTTAAAATGAAAAACTGTGGACTCTGAAACACTGAGACACACACTTTTATTTTACACATAAATATTGTAGATGTGGATAAAGTCTAACATAAGACTGAAACTCTTTAAGTGCACAGGTGTACAGTATAATCACAACTTAAATTCTATATTTATGTTGTATAATATGCTGGTTACCTTCTGCAGCAGCGCATTGCAGACCAGTTGCAGTTTGTCCGGGGTGATGTCCAGGGGCACATCAAAAGGTGAACCCAGAACTTCCCCTTCCTCATCCTGAAACTGGATCAACAGCCGCTCCACGTCCTCACTCGTCATCCTCTGTTTGGTTTGGATCCAAATCTAACAAAAAGTTATACTTATTTAATGACGTAATAAAGTACATAAGGTTGATAATATCTTTTAGTTGTTGGGAGATTTCTGGCTGTTCCCTGCTGTAAAATATTGAACTTATTTTGGTTGAAAGAACACATCCAGTCCCAAATAAGACAGTAAAAGTGGATAGATCATGTTTATAAATGGGATCATGGATGCTGCATCTCTTAAAGTCCAAACCATGATGTTGGATTTGCATCAACACATATTTTGCACAACTGTCCCTATGATGTGTTGTCTTTTCTCACTTTTATAATGAAGGCAACATTACAGCTAGCTAAACTAACCAACAAAATGTCCCTAATGTTAACTCACTATCGTTACTTTAGACATCCTGACAGTGTAGGGCCACGTTTAACATCACTATTACACACATTTGGACCAAATCCTACCTCCTGAAATAGACTGTTTTTACTTCCAGCTAACTTAGCTTATGTCAACCACAGTCTATCATGTCAACCAATGAAGCTAACGCTGCTAGCTTGCTGTTAGCCAGCATTTTGGACCCATAGTTCCTCGCAGCAGCGATCACAGGACAATAAGATAACCGTCGATGTTTACACAACACTGTACACTTTTATATGACTCTGGATTGGCACGTACATGCGCTAAAACTTTACCTTTAGCGAGGAAACGATGTGTTAAAGCTCCCCACGTGTGTACCACCGAAGAGCCTCTGGTAGGGAGATGTTCCTAAAGCCGGAGTTGTCACGTTGGTCAACGGAGTCGCGCAATGAATTATGGGAGAGTAATGAAGGGAAAGGAACAACCGTGATTAGTTTCTCTGACAGATTGCCGCGTTGCTTTATACTCTTCTTCACTTTCCCTCCGCTGTTCCTACAGTGGGACGTTTGAGCTTCACTGTGCAGAATGATGCATGTGCAGAGTTTGACACTAGAAGGATGTTTTCTCATTAATCTGCTAAAAGTGGAAAGTTTCTATGTGCTTATTGAAAATTGTATTTACTTTTTTTTAATTTAACATTTGTGACATCACAGATAGTTTATAAAAGAAAATCTGGTCCACTATGCAACTTCTACAAGTGTGATGTAGAAACTTGAAGCCACCGTTGCGCATACACAGAATGGAGTTTACAGTGAAGTAGGGGACATCTTGTGTCCAGCAGAAATGAACAACATTTGCATATTTATAGATTTAATGAGGTAGAAGGAGTAGATAGAGGCCTTTTTGAGGTATTTAATATGGAAATTATCATTTTTTGTGGAAGAAACGTATCAGACACACTTCCACGCAGACCATATGTCTTAATATTTGTCTGGAGGGGCTGAATTATTGGTCATTTACATTACTTAGAACTCTCACTTGTCCCACTGATCCGTTATTAACCTTATAGTTACATGTTGTATGATTTTTATGAATACGATACAATCACAAATCTTATTTAATATGTCAATAAACCTTAACAGTCTGCTTGAAATTTTCAGTTTTAATTAGACTTCAAACATTTTTTTGGGGGGGGGTTTAACACATTTTCATTAAGAGGAAAACAGAAGTCCTGTTTGAACATTTTAAAAAGAAGTCACATCACTTCATATACGGTCTTTACAACAACGGATAACGTAATGCAAATACACAAACTGATTGTGTTCTGTTGCTGTGACATTATTCACTTCATCAGTCAATCAAATATACACACTTCCACACACATGTAGGAGAAAGTATTACAGTGTAAGTCTGATCTGACTTCCCCCCAACGTAAACACAGAGAATCACGTAGGCATCACCAAATCAATACATTGATTACTAAATCTAAATGCTCATTTCCCACACACACACACACACACACACACACACACACACACACACACACACACACACACACACACACACACACACACACACACACACACACACACACACACACACAGATACATTTTGACACTTCTATGACAACAATCATCAATCATTGGAATAGAAAAGGCATCCTGTATTGCACTAGTGTGAGAAACTACAGTTAAGACATTTAGAGCAAGATAGATAAATAATTAATTAAAATCTTTAAATCCACTTAAATTCAATATATAATATTATGCCTTAGAGTCTGTCATGATACACATTAGACTTACATTATTGCATACATTTGTTATAAAGCAATATATGACATTGACAGGTCTACATCAACATCCACATCTTACATCAAATGTTCTTAGAGGAATTCATGTGTGCATTATATTTTAAATCTTTCTCTCATCATTATAATTCCACCCTAAAACACTTGGATCCGATAGTTGGTGCAAATAATCCATAGCAAGACTCAATTACCAGATGCATATTTCTGCTTTATGGCAATACAGATAAAGAAGAACAGCCAGCACCAACATAGAATTGCACTGGCACGAGTGTAGACCAAAGCAATATCTATTTTCTGTATTGACTCTATTGACCTGCGCTGCATATCCTCTACTTTCAGAAACAATACTTAACTTATTGTTCATGTATCCTGCTCTTAAAAAAGGCCTGTGGTTATAACTGTTCCAGCAAGAGTGAATCTGACTTGAAGTGAACTCCTTCAAGGCAAAGTTAGAAAGAACACATTCAAGTTTACGGTCCATGTGATGGCACAGTGTGCTGGCCTTTAACGACTAAGTCAGCTTATCCTGTAGATTAAGAAAACGATATTAGGGCATCTGAAAATCTGAATCAATTATGTGTGAATTTCCAGGGGAGAGGAATAAGATGTGGCACTGATGTGATTATTTCTTATTTGTTGAGCCCGTTGATGTTCTCAGGAACAAGGCCCTCCATGATGGCACGCTTTGACTCCAGAATCTGCAAGACCAAAACAAACACATTTCCTACTGCGAATATACACTCAGTGGTTATCTAATTAGGTACATCTGTACAATCTATTGCAATTCAATTGGTTAGTTTGTTTCCTTCCTACCCAGGGTGGGTAGAATATTAGTTAACACCTATATATGTAATGCAGTCCAGTAGACACTGTTACTAACTATGACCTCAATGCTAAAACATATAATTGAATCAACACCTCTGTGACAGGCATCATAAAAATAGACTTTATGGCAGAACAGTGGTATTTGATTGCATTAGATTGGACAGGCATACCTAATAATAAAGCCACTGAGTGTATAACATAGTGTAATACTTGCTACCACCTGGTCCCTCAGATAATACAATGGTGATTAACATATTATATGTTTGTATTTGGGGAAGAATCTTATATTTATTGATGATGACACTTCAGTGAAGTAACCAGATATCCAAAATCCCAATATAATGATTATTATATCCTATGGAGTTGCTGTGTTAACAGTGTGTTAATGGGTACAAATATCCCCATTACATTTTCTATTAGTAGTTCATTTATTTATTTTACAATTGCTCATAGAAACTGTGCTTTGTACTATTTGGTATCACATATTTCAGTGTTAGTTAAAGGTCCAGTGTGTAACATTTATGATGATCTATTGGCAGAAATGGAATATAATATTCATTGGAATGTTTTAATTGGTGTAAAATAACGTGAAAATAAGAATTGTTGTGGTTTTGTTATTTCAGATTGAGTCTTTTTACATACAGAGGGAGTGGGTTATCTTCCAAAGAGGCTGGCATGTTGAACCACTATGTTTCTATAGTAGCCCAGAACAGATAAACCAAACAATGGCTCTAGATAGCGCACTTTATGTTTATTTTTGCGTTTTGGAGTTTCATAGCCACCGTTGTTTCACCTACATACTTGGATGGCTACACTGTTTTCAAATGGTTACAGTTTGAATCTTCACCACTAGGTGCCAGTGAATTCTACACACTGGTCCTTTAAGCGCTTTGTTTATTTCTGGCAACAGTGAATGTTATTAAGCACGGACAGAGGTATCATAGGGCAATGACCCAATCCTCTTCAAGGTTAACAAATGTTAAAAAGGTACTGACAGTATAAAGTATAACAACTGATGTTTTAGTGGTACACTCACCTGGAAGTCAGCACTGAGGCCAACAATGCTTTGCATGTTTGTACTGTAGTAACCCAAAAGATACTGTCCACCTAGCAGAGGGATCTCATCCTTATCCATCGATATCTGCAACCAAAACACACACACACACACACACACACACACACACACACACACACACACACACACACACACACACACACACACATATTAATGAGCATGCATTCATAAAGAATTTGCCCAAACATGATGCAAATACCCCACTTGCACTTTACCTGTATGACTTCGTTTATCTCTGGCAACTCAGCCTCTCTGACCCACACAAAGGTTTCATAATCAGATGCACTCTTGAATCCCACCTGCAGGAGACCAACCTCATGAGTTCAAATCTGTCTTGTTTTATATTGTTGGTTTATTTGCCCTCTATGTCTGTCCCAGTACCTTGTACAGGCCAATCCAGTCCCATGTGGAGGACATGAAGTCCTCTTGGATGGTGTAGTTAAGAAGTGCATTCTGGTCGGCGCTCCATACACCCTCAGGAGATATGTGCACCAGTGCTGTGTCAAAGAACTTCCTTAGCTGTGAGAAAAACAAGAGAACAAGAGAATGAGCTTTAACAATGTAGAAAATGTAGAATCAGGCTTATATGTAGGGATTAACAGAACTGAGCAGCACAAAGCCCTAGCATACACCATCCTCTCCTCTCACCTCTAGACTGAAGGTTGCAATGACAGGTTTATGGTCACTGACTCCATAGCTCATGTCACTGGTGTATTTATCCTGAGTGACCAGGAGTGGATACTCATCAAGTCCATCGTCAGAAGAAGTCGATGCCTTCTCATCATCATCCTCTGAAGGCGGGGCTTTGGGTTTGATCCGCCAGAGGATCCGATCGGTCCAGGCAGGTTTCCTTTTCTTGCCACTGAAGGAAGCGAAGGCAAGTGTTGATACCAGTTTCCAATTTTAGGATGAGTTGAGTTATCTGTTTCCGATACTTACCCGATATGTCAGATTTCCATTTGTGTCTAACAGTTCTTATTTTTATACAAAAATACTGGAAACAGTGCTGTTAAAGAACACAAACCACACACACACGTGCACACACACACACACACACACACACACACACACACACACACACACACACACACACACACACACACACACACACACGTGCAATGCACATCTATACCTACAGTGTAGCATGCTGTGGAAAAATTATGGATGTCAGGAGTGGAGAATACCATTGAACATAGTATTAAAGCTTATCTATAAACGTTCACTATAAAAAGCAACATATACATTATGCAAGAACAAACAGTGGGGTGCTGGGTGGAGGAGGGGGATGTCTCAGTTCTTCATGTCTGCAATACATCAATGTAATTACGTCTAATAAACCCCTTTGTGCCTTGTCATTTATATCAATGTCTCCAGTTATTGGACGAATGATTGTAGGTCATATAACCTTCAAGGTGCCTATTCTATAGTACGGGGCCCTCTCTTATTCCTACATATCTATGGAGACACCCACCTTGGCGGGTCTAGCTCCCTGTACCAGGCCCCCAACCAGACAGAGAGCATCCCCCAGGTGAGGGAGGTGAGGAGGAGGAGGAGGGTGGTGCTGCAGCGCTGCAGGGGCCTGGGTCTGTACATGGTTAGGGGCAATGCCACAGTGCTCTTTCTGAGAGAGACACATACATGGTGCTAGTGTCAGGAATGGATGCAACTCACAGAAAGAGCTGATCCTAACTTTATCTCTTATGTCAGGATTTACTGCTTTGGGTTCCTGTTAATGCATCTCAGGGGTTACATGTTTTGTTTCAGCTAAAGATGCGAGGGCAAAAGTGGGGGGAAAAAGGACAAGGATGGTGCAGTGGCAAAGAAATAAATAAAGGTGGGGCATGCAACACAAAAAAATCCATAGTCTTACTTAAAACCCAACCATGTCTTCGGAGTGCTGTGCAAAATTCAAAACGGAAACGGAGAGCACAGATTAAGTTTGAGAAAGAGTATTTTTGTGTAATACATTTGTTTGTTGCACATGTTACCTGGTATCATAGGTATCAGAGTTACGGTCAAACTTGTAGGTGGGCTTAAAATTCAATGACCCTTCCTCAAATTCCTGCAGGAAAGGTTCGTTCTTCTTCATCATGATAAGCTGCAGGAACAGGAAATAAATTTGTGAGTGTGCATTATTGCGTGTGTGTGTTTGTGTGTGTACATGTTTATGTGCGTCACCTGGTCTTTGTTCCACAGCAAATTAAGGCGTCCGCTGTTGATGGACGAGCGGAGGAAGTGCAAGCCGTGGTCTGCGATACGAAAGTTCAGGTCGCCAAAACAGAAGACCACCCTGTGTGTGAGAGGGAAGGAGTCTTAATTTACCTGCTATACATGAACCCTCAGTGCTTATATTTCATAGTGTGTTTGGCTGTTTATGTGCCTCTGTGTAGGGGTACTGACTTGTGGTCCAGGACATGTGGGGTGTCAGAGATGTCAAAGTCTTGTGTCTCCAGGATGTACTCAAACTCGTCAACACGCTGCAGAGCGTAGTTCATGTGAGCTGCTAGGTGGCAGTTAAGGAAGCACACCATGTGGCCATAGAAGGAAAAACGCACGGACACTCCTCCTTTATTTCCCTGACAGAGGAGGAGGAATACAGAATGTGAAATGAAAGGTAAAGCAGAAGTTTAAAGTCACATTTTTATCTTTTAGGAATAGCAAATGCAGAGTGATTATAAGTAAAAATACAGATTCATTTTACTGCAGTATTTACAATAAAATACAACATATTGCAGTTTAAAACCACCACTTAATCCCCCTTTCCAAAATAACTTGGATTATGGATTAGACATTTGTTTGCCCCAGTGTAATGCACCAGCTTTAGTGTTGTGTAGTTCTTTCTTTGTGATTTCATTCTGTCAAAGCTGCTGCACATTCCACTAAACAAACACAATGCTCCTTTCATAATGTGTTTAAACTCTACAGCATCTGATGCCAGTGGGATTCCTGGTGTTCAGGATTTAATAGTGCTATTGTCTATAAAGGTTAACCAGTGTGTTTCCTTACCCAGTAGCCAAAGATGCCAGTACGAGTATAGGTGGTCTGGATGTTTCTGATGTAGGGGAGATGAATTTGTTTGGCAAAAAGCAGCAACAGCAAACCCTGCATCCTTATTGATGTGACCTAGACAGAGATTGAGATAGATTTTATTATTTTTTATTGAATTTGTTCAGTTTTTTAAAATTTAAAATATGTTCCCTTTTATTTTCTATATAGTTTCAAATTACAAATATGTTATGCACTGTGATTTTTATTATATGAGAATATCTAAATATACTGCATTATATACATTATATATAATATAAAAAACTAATGAAACAAGATATGGCTATTCTCAAACTGTAAGTACACAGTGTCAAAAATAAAGTATTTGAGGATTTTGAACTAAAGTAACCCCATGGTTATATACATTTTTAGAGGCATACAGTAGCCTTCAAGACACTATTATTCATACCAGCTATTTAGGCACACACATGCATTCTGTTCATATCAGTTCACACAGTACTATTTCCCTTTCTTTCCCCTGGTCTTCTCTCACCTTGACAAAGCCTCTAGGTGCCAGAGTGTTCATGAAGACGTGGCTCCAAGAGTCCTCCACCAGCAGGTCAGAGAAGAACCTCACAGGGGCAGCATTCACCTCCTGCAGGCTGACACACACCGAACACACCCAAGTGATTAAAAGATATGTTTTTATCCTTCAGTCCAATTCCTGGCTTTTTTTAAGTTTTTAATTCCAGATTCTAAATTGTCGTTTCTCACCCAATCACATAGAGGTCTGTGGGGGGTTGGACGTCTAGTTGCAGCAAAGAGATGACGTCCTCAGGAGGCTCCGCTGTGGCCACGTTCCAGGTCACCATGTGCAACCTGTCAGAGTGTTTGGTAAAGAAAAAAAGAGAAAATATTGACAAATATTAGTTGCATTGCTACATTTGTTGTAAATGCACTCCCTTCAGAGTAATTGTTTAACATTTTCTATGAAATATATTAACAGCAATAACACTGGAAAACAAACCATTTTAATATTAGTATATTTTAAGTTGTACTTCATTTCTACATTGCTACCTATTCATGTCCACCACATATAATACAGCAACAGTTTGTTTGTGACAGTGGAAAAATAATCAAGTAAACACCCACATTTTTTTTTCAATCGTTTATGTATAATAGGAAACCACTAAGTGCCAAACTGTCATTGTCTTTGTGGTGGAGAAGGTGTGAAAGTCAAATAAGTTCTTGATTATTTCAGAGGACTTAAACACTTCCTGTGTGTGTGTATTTGTGTGAACTTGTATTTTGTATGTATGTGTGAATGAGCATGTTTCAACCTGAATGCGTCAGTGGGGATAAAGCGCCCACAAAGCTGAAACGCTTCATCCAGTGTGCGGGACACTTCTTCATTGGCTTCATCGTCAGAGCTCATGTCCTCAATGCAGGTCAGCAGCTGGGTCAAACGATGGCGGAGGAGCGTCTTGGACCTTGAGCCCTGAGACGCTGAACTACTCATGCTATCTGAGCGCACACGTGGACTGTCTGTCAAGGGGTCCATCTTTGGATCTTAGACACAAAAAAAGTCTTCCTGGTGTTAGTTTTGTTGTATGCACTCAAGGTCAGGAAGGTTGTTTAAGGTCACTCAAATAAAAAAAACAAGTTGCTGTCCTGCAAATGCAACAGGAAAAATCCAGCAGAAGAATTTCTCTTCAGACTTCTTTGGTAGGTTTGGTTCCAGCCATATGATGCAAGAGGCCTCCACTCTGCTCAGACGACTGGAAATAACGTAGTCTGATTCCTAGTTAGTCAAATTTCTCCTCATGCGCATCGGTCCTCCAAACTGGCCAGGATGATAAACTTGAAAAGTCCAGGGAGAAGCTTGCCTGTATTGGTGCAATCCTCTCTGTGGCAGAGCCCTGTGTGGTCATGCAGCAATGGAGCAACGACGGACAAAGCAATGGGGTCGACTCAGGAATGTGGGCAAGAATGAGTCAGATTTGGACTATAATCGCAGGCAGGATTCGCATGTGAACACGTGCATTTGCCAGTGTGTGAGTGTGTGCAGTCAGAGAGAGTAGAAGAGGAGGACCGGAGGCTGATCCTCCATCATTGTGAGTATTGTTGCAAGACTTTGGGTAACCCTTCAGATCCCTAAGAGGTTTACAACCAGCGCTGAGTACACTGAACAATGCATGTAACACTGCAATTATAGCCATGCATTAGTGAGAGGACAACAGCACACAATAGCATTAGCTTCTTTGGGCCTCAATCCAGTCTCTCCTCATATAGGTGAAAGGTTATCTTTGTAAATCCAGAGAGAAGTGAGGGGGGTTAAATGCAGTTTCATACACTCTGACACAGTCCTTTTATTTTTTTCTCCTCAGAACAAAAGCTCAGATAATTCCAATTAACAAGAGTTTCAACACCGTTATTAGTGGACAAATTGTATAAAAGATTTGGAAGCACACAATGCATGAAGCAACTCCAACCCATTTAGCCTAATACTTAAATGGTTTAAAGATGTCAAAACCATCAGTGTTGTGACATAATGCTGAGGCACATTCAAAAATTGTATTCAGTATCGCTGATCCTCTCAGCTATAACTTCCATACCAAGAAGGTTTAGGAATTAAATTTCCCATTTTTCTATTGAAAATCATTTTGGCTTACGGATTTTCCAATTTAGCAAAATCATTTTTTTTTTTTTTTTTAACTGTGCAGCCCTGTATCATAGCAAGCCAACAACAGGACGAATTTGGTGACATAATATATATATTGAGATATTCAAATTTAGATGCAAGGTTTAGTTCCAGAATAGACATGTTTCCCAGCAGCCATTTTGACATAAAATAGTAGGGTAAACACAGGTGTTTCGAATGACACTAATTAAGGCTCTGTTCCATTTAGTGTAGCAGAGTGTGCCAAAATGCAAAATAGCAGCTCCCTGAGTATCATTGGTAACACCTGTGTCTGTTTACCCTTCTATTTCATGCCAAAATGGCTGCTATGATGGCAGAGTTCAAACAATAAATCATAGCAGAAAGTCAACAGCGTTTTCATTTTTGGAAAGCTGTGGGGGACAATACTATATAAGGAACAAAAGGGATGGAAACAACCTGAAGAGATTGCCATTTACAAAATAAAAAATGCTAATCTTTGGTGCCCCAGTTCTCCCTGCCACTTCATGTAACACTGTCACATGGAGAGACTTAGGGCACATTCTTTAGCAAGCAGAAGTGTTAAGTGGATAACCGAAAGGGTTCACACCGGTCCACTGAGGAATGATGAATGGGAGACTATTTAAGTTTTATTATAGAGCAAAGACCACAAAGACCCATAATCAGAATCCTCAAAGCTACTTATAAAGGTTAGGTAATTCAGACACTGTACAAGCTGGTTATACCTTCTTTTTTATAGACTCTTTTTGTCTCTATATACACTCTTTTCTACCTGAGGTCCCTGCTTTCTCTAATATTTACTTTCATCACCATTTTGTCTCTCTTGTTCCTACTCTGTACTCTTACAAGACCATTGAAGGACAAAGAAGATGAGGACAAGGTCTGTATGGGCATCTTACCTGCACTTGTCTCTCCCACCACTTTGAAGTCTTCCAGTGCTCATTTTCTCTCCTGTCGGCAAACACAAACGCATATATGCTTAAACAAAGTGTAAACAAAGAGGAAACCAAAATGCTTGCCTCTTACACAGACAGTTTACCGGGATCACAGACCAGTGCCCAATAAAACAGACCTGACAGGGATGCCCGTAAGTCATTTCTGAAATGGGTTTTTAATCATGTCTGATCACGGTTAGCTTCATCCACGTGACAGTGCCCTGAAGGTCACACATAAAAACAGTAACGCTTGAAAGCCATTCATTTAACTTCATCAAAAGATTCTGTGTAAAAAAGAATTAGATTTTCATAATGGGGATCATTTAAAGGAAAGCAGTATTTTATTAGTATTCACCAGTTGTGACTGATCTTTTATAGACACACAATAGTTTTTGTCATTTGTAAGAACATTGTGTTGACTTAAATCTGCATCAACGTTAATATATTTTTTGTCCACTTGGGGGCAGTACAGCAAGCTGAAAACACATACACATATTATCTCCTTATGGCTAACATGTTAGCAAACTAGCTATTTGGAGATTTACACATGCAGTAGACATGACTGAGCCACATTAGCATTAATTTGAAGTCATGTTTCTGACCATGACCATTGTCCAGTATTCACTCACCTGTTAGCTCTGTTTTGGTTTCCAACAACTCCTGAAGGAAATATTTGGCTCTTTAGCTCCTAAATGCGTCACTAATCTTGTTTGTCTTTTGTTTGGTGCCAGGTGGGTAGCCTACGGTTTTTAGAGCTTTTAAACTGCTGCTGAGGCTGGGAAGAATTTGACGCGAGCAGTGAGCAGTTAAGATGCTGGCTGTAAAACCAAAACAGTGAGCTAAAAAACACTAAAATGCTCTGAAGACTTGAGCTGCAGCACCAGGTAATAATTATATGAGTCGTAATCACATTACATGTAGTTATTTGATCCATTGTTAATATCTAAATGTTGATTAGTGTAGCTAAACTGCTTTCTGCCAAACCTGACCTCGTTAAAATGTCTAAAAGTTGTTCAGACTTTAGAGAATAAAGGATCGATTTTATGGGGACAAAACTCTGGTCCCCATAATATAACTGTGTGAATAAGTCTTTTCTCTGTTCAGTATTACTGTACCACACACACAGGCACAGACCAATTAAGAAACTGGATTCGTTGTTGGTATACTGCACAGGCATCTGAGAGTGTGAGGATTACACAGGAATACTAAATGTAACAGAACTGACAACCTATGAAATGTCCCTGCCAGATTTATCCCAAAACCCTTAAAACTACGATTTTCAAAATAATAATAATAATAAAAAGTGATAACTGACAGCAAATGCAACAGTAAGAATGTTGTGTCCGTTTGTGTGAATCCAATATGTTTCTCTTCTGTATTAAGTACCTGCTGAAAACAAAATCACCATCATACATCCAGTACTGTACCTTTGTCTGTGTGTGTTTGTTGTGGTGTCTGGAAAAAGCTGCAGACCCCCTGTGCACAGATGACAAAGATCTCCAAAGGGGAGTCCAGAGACTGGATCTGCTTTCCTGTGGTGAGTCCCGTTGTTTGACTGTTTGTTCTCTTTCTGGTTCCCTCGCTTTCTTCTCAGCTGTTCCCCTTCTGGGTGCAAGGTCCCACACACAACCTGCTCTGGACTTAAAGCGTAACATCGGATCAAGCTATTATCCCAGGTTGGTTAACAACCCAGTGAGAGAGTATTATCTCATTCATGAATGGTCATGTCTGTTTATTGAATGTCCCCATGGTGCATGGTATTTGTTGCACTAAAACCCTCTTTGTATGTTCATAAATAATCCTTAACTTTCCTAACAGTATGGAATGTGTAGGGTGTTCTGCTTTACCATGGGCTATTTTTATCTTTTTAATATTTATCATTTAAAGTACAGTAAAATATTTAATTTCTCCAAATTGACTCTGGGCACTGCCACAGTAGGCAATAATAAATCTACTGTCTTGAATTGTTTTTTTTTTTTTTTCACATGATAAGCTCTTGTAATGATAAAGTGACATAGGGCTCAGTCCTTTCACATTTTCCAGATGGTGTGTTCAATGTTTCGTCATTCACCTCATTTATAAAAGGAATCGATTGACATTTTGAGAAATATTATTTGCTTTCTAGTTAGTATTTCAGCCAGGAAACACTCAGCTTAGTTTATCGTAAAGACTGGAAACAAGGGAAAACAACTAGCCTGACCCTCTCCAATGTGACATAATCCACCTACCAACATCTCTAAATATCCATGGATACATTACTGCATTCAACCCACGCAAAAAGGACGTCACTGCACCAGGTGTGTGTCCAACACTTAATCCCAAACTTAAACCATAGCGTGTTGTTTTGTACGGATTAAACTGAGTCGATATAGTATGTTATTTGATGTGCTTTTAGGCTGGAAGTTGAAACCAAATCGCTTGATAAAGAGAATAGTATTGATCATCTCAACTAACTCTTGACAAAAAAGCAAATAAACATATTTCCCATAAAATGCTGCTTTAATTTTCCAGAAGAGAAGTACAAAGTCAGGCTCTTTTTCCTTTTGAATGATCAATACTGACAAGTATTAATTTCAAAAGCATGGGGCACTCCTTCACTGTTGTATCCTATTACTGGATGGTTGTTTTGGTATCAGAACTAGGTAACTAAAAGAGAGAGAAATAACTCCCTTGCCATATATTTCAATGAAATTTCTTTAACAATTATAAAAAAAACCCAAAACACAGTCACAAAAAACTAAATACATGAAAAAGAGCAGGAAGAAAATAACAACTTAAAATCAGGATTTACTCAATAATTTCGAAGTCCTGTAAGATTATAGAACATTTCACAGCCACACTGAGTCTCATCAACATCTCACAAAATGTGTGCTCTGTGTGCTGGCCCCTCTTCTGCCTCATAATCAGGATTTAAAGTAATCTTTGCGGTTCAAACCTGATTAATTTTACCCTGCCTACAGTGTTTGTGGATTTGTGTGTGCAGTGGGTGCTGCTTGCCATAGTGTAGTTTTTGATACTTACACTAGGGGTTCCAGTGTAAGCATCGAGACATTTTATCCAGACATTTTATTTTGCTTCTGCAAATTATTGTTTTGATAAACTGATTTATTAATTTAATATATATATTTTGTCAATGCATCGTTGCTTTCTATATTTATAACACGTTATAGGTTGATTTACATGTCAGTGGATTAATTAGTAAAATCTTTTTTAAATCTCTCTATTTAATATCCATTGAATTAATGATTGCTTTTTAACCATTTGCGAGGCTCTACGGTATAGCTTATCCATAAGAAACCAAAGCATAAAATTAAAAGTATAGTATAATATAGTATAGTAACATTTTATTTCAGATACATGCATACCTGCATTGTAGTGTAATTTATTTATTTTTATGTTAATAGAAACAATAATAATAAATTCCAAAAATAATGATTGAACTTCAGTTACAGTATCTCAGGTTTCCAATTTTCAGGTTTCTCATGACTGTAGGAAACTTACCACATAGGTTTTGTTGAGAGTTGTTATGACCTATGACAGCACTGAAACCATACATGAAAGTAAAACAAAAACAATTTACATAAAAACATATGTACAGTTGCTTTGCTTCTTTTTATTCATTTCTTTACGTCTCCAATGTACAGTAGTGTTATTGGAAGATAAGATGACAAAAAGGCACAAATTCACAATAAAAGAAAGAAAAACAGGAGACAAGTTAACAGGGAGAGAGAGAGAGAGAGAGAGAGAGAGAGAGAGAGAGAGAGAGAGAGAGAGAGAGAGAGAGAGATATTTAAAGATTTAAAAACAGTTTGGGGTTGTGGAATCATTTGGTTTCATATTCTGATTATAAATCGAAGAATCTAACAACAGATATCTATGAGATTGTCTCTGTTAAACCATGTTCTCTCACAAGTTTGTATGGTATCTCCAGGCTCTTAAAATGGACCTACTGTCTGTATCTGTTTTCAAACAACCACATCTAATTGTCTTTGCTTTTTTTTTCTGTGCAGCTGTGAACTCCAACCCTCCAGCACCCGGTTGAAGCTGCTCCTAAATGTGGAATAATTTCCCCTCGATTCCCATCGCTAACGACGGGAGGGCAAAAATCTTACTTACACAGAGGCTCCACTTAGGGCTGACACCATCAGCTAATTATGTGGATCACCGAACTGATCCAAGCTGCCGTTATATGTTCCTTTTCAGTGAGAGACGCGAGTGTAGTTCAGAGACTGACAACAGAGGTACAACAACACTCAGAACAAAAATATATATCTATACACTGTCCTGCCAATGAGACGTGGTCCCTGTGAGGGAAGACCGTGAGGAGAGGAAGTTGTGGACATTGTTTTTGCTTCGCTTTTCATTTTTTTCTCCTCCAAATACAAACCACACAGCAACTCAGCTCCTCACTTTTGCTGGAGCATCCTAAAATATGCAGCAACATCATCTTTGACATGTAGGAATGCGTTTTTTATATATCTAGGGCTGATAATATTCCTCAAAATGCCTTATCAGCACTAAATTACAGCCACTATAACTCTATATTTTCCCACAATAATACCTCTGGGAGAGCAACTTGGTCACTGCGGTCTGTGTGATGCTGAATATTTAGCGATGGAATAAGAGGATCAAGTGGTAAGGGGTGTGCTGTAGGTTTGGCAGGACAGTCTGATCTATATATATGTGTTCATCTACATTTATTTATTTACTATTTACAAAGTCGATACATACAGTACATCCACAAATCTCCATGATTCAGTTGGTAGCCCCATCACAGACGGCGAGTGAGATGCTTGATGGACACAGAGGTGTGGAAGAGTTGGACATCCAGGACCAGTGTTTTCTTTAAAGAGGAGGCAACAGAAACTGGCTCGCAGTGATTGGTTTATAAACTTTATCTGACATTCAGATTTAGGACATAAAAAAGTGTCAAAAGGTGGAAAAAAAGAGTAGTTTTCAGATGTTTCTCCAAAGCATGTCTAAACTATTACACTTTAACAGTTGCCAATAATGCCCTGAGCAGTTGTTAATGCCTGTTTTAAGCCTTAGTATCCTTATGGCCAATAAAGGAAATTCGGATATATTGGCTACTGTGCTTGGGCTTAAGACAGAACACATAAATGGATAGACTAATGACACTACTCTAGTACGATCCTGTCAAATGGTGTGTGAAGTCATTTAAATTCTCCATCACATGAATACCAACTATTGGAAATCTTCTCGAAAACGTCTGCATTTTGTCAAGTTGATGACAAAGGCCCTGGAAGACTGGTGTCAATGCTGCACCATAAAAATACATTTCACCCTAACTATATGAGCAACTTGGGGTTATGGGGAACTACGACAAATAGAATAAGATATAATAAGAATTTATTTGATTAATAGTATTGCTCTGTTCTGTCATGTCACAGGTTAGATAGATACGAGAGTCAGACCATTGAAATGTAAAAAAATAAAGTTGTTTAAATATTAGGCTGATACAGACGTTTTATTAAAAACTGCACTTGATGCAGTTTTAGTTTAATAATTGCCAATGGCCAGCCCTTTAGTGGGACCGATACACTTACTGTTCAATCAGATTACACACAAGTGTGTATTATCATGCTTTTGTAATGATCTAAATTTTGTTATATTTTTATCTGCTTGTGCTGACAGCAGTTTTTTAGCCAGTTTTAGACACTTTTTTTTAATGATTCAAATGTATTTATTAAAGGCGGGCGACATAAATAAGTATTATTATGTTGGCCTTTTGGCATTATCTGTTGCTTGCTCTTTAAAGTTTCCACACAGTTAAAAGTTGTGGGAGGAAAGTAAACAGAGGATGAAAACGAACATTATAAAAGTAACTGAGGACAAAGGAGGCCAAACAGACATCAACAAGAGGAAGAAGGTTAGTGCCTGCTGTTATCACTCCTCTAGCTCCATTACTTCCTCCCTTCTTTACCCAGCCAGCATCAGATCTCTTCAAAGACACGTTACTGTACATCACTCATGTACACTCATGCATATACCGAAAAACCACACGATTACCGCAACAGGCCTCAGATTCCAGCGGGAGAAAACCCGCCTCATCCAGAGACAAGCACAACAAAACCAGCATTTAATAAATAATTTGTCAACATCTTAACCATCCTTGACTTTCAGCTCGGGCTCTGCTATACTAAAACAGTTTTAGGATAGGAACAAACAGTAAAGTAAGATAGATTTGCGATGAAAAAGAAGAGACCAAGGTGTCATGGTAGTTATTGCTATCGCTGGATAAGACCATTTATCCACTGGAGGTGACAGGATGGGTGCAAGAATTGATGCAGATCGGGTAAAGTTTTACTTTCAAAAACCCATTTATCTATCTACAGCAAGCGTAAAGAGCTGTATATCCATGATGGCTGCTAATGGTAAAATCACCATCATGATAATGAATTTTGCAGTTAAAAAGGATGTGATGTCTGTCGACTGAAAGACTGCCAGACAAAAAGAAAAACAGATACTCATTTATGGCTCGTCTACTGTGCATTTCCCTTTGCAGAGTGATTATACTTGTATCCTTGTATACTATCTCTGTCTGTGCATATGTGTGCGTGTGTTTAAATTGACTTTCAAACGATCTGTTTGAACAACTTGATGAAACTGAAGAGCTAGAAATGACCTGGTGAAAGAAAAAAAAATGGCGGTAAACCTTACAGCGCTACAGAAACACACACACATATACACACACAAACAAAAGCGCGCACACACAAAGAAGCAAAAACGCCAATAAATGCCTCAACATACTAAGGGAGATACTGGGCAAAAATCCTATCTGGTAGGCCAGGAGTATAGCAGAGACAACATAACACTCTCAGCACAATCCCAACCTCACAGCTGCAGTTTGTAGACTTGCAAATTGATTTGAACAACAAAAGGAAACACTGCATAAAGCATGACACAAATGGAGAGAAGGAAGTACTATGACAAATCCAAAAAATAAAATAAAATAAAAATTACAGAATCAAAACTCAACACTGAGCAGATACAGCTTGGTCTGGAAAAAATAAACATCCAAAGACAAACTTACAGACAAAATCATTTTAAAAACCCTGTTTATATATATTTATATATATATATATTTATATATATTTCAATAGAATTATTCAGCTCCCCGATATACGGTATACTGTATATATACACCATTGGGATATCTTAAATAGAAATAAATCCTAAATTGCAGAGACAAATGACACTATTCTCTGTAGTTTAGAACGGTTTAGAGACTGAGAGGGCTGACTGACAAGATCTATAGTGTTGCTACTGGAGGCCTCAGAGCAGTAAGATGGGGACACTGGATGGAAAAACAAATAGAGATGGATGGGACTCAAGGGAGGTGGGATGTAGCGGAGGAGATCAGCTGAAAACTGGAAGTTTACTGGGTCCAGGTCCCTGAAAACCAGACTGTACCGGGGGTGGGGTGGGGGGTAAGGGGGTTGGGGTGGACCGGCCGGTCAGACGTTGTGTCAGTTGGAAATAGAGGGAGGATGTGAATCCGCTGGTGTCTGGGTACTCTGGTCTGAAAGAGACAGAAATAAGGAAGAGCATAAACAAGAGGCACTTTTTCTCATTACAAGGGTTTATTGGCACGCTAAAGATTAGAGCCTGATATAAACTGGACTCTAAAAGGCTTTTAACTCACATTGTGATACACATTTCTGACTTGGAGCCCTTAAAGCTGCACAAATCGATATTTTTAGATTAACAATAAAATCAAATGTCTACTTGTAACGTGAAAGGTGTCACTCGCAGTGACAAACCCACAGATGACCCAACTCTGCAGTTCCCTTCAGCTCTACAGAACCTTCTGGCATCTTTCAGGTCATTATTTTGGACAAAGCAAAAAAGAGAGTAAACATTGGACTTACATTCATTGGGTGGCCAAATAAATGCTCTGTGTCTGCTGGATGTGTAACTTGCTTATGAACATATGACTCATAACAACTTTAGAAAATGTGTTGTGATCTACAGGGCAACATTCTGCTGCTTTATATTTAAGGATTAATGCTGAAAACAGTTAGTCGAGGTCAGTTTTGTTAATCGATTAATTAATCATGTCATTTACGTAAAATGCCCCAAAGATTCTGGTTCCTGCTTCTAAAATGTGAAGATTTTCTTCTTTGCTGTAAACATCACCTGATGAGCAGCAGCATTCACGGTTCAACACAACCTCAGTCCTCTAGAGCCACCATCCCTTTCACTGGGTCCTTCACTCTCATCTGATGCACACAAGAAAAACAAAAAAAATTAACATCAACATAGACAGTGATTGAATTACTGACTTTTACTAAAGTGTTTACTGTAGTAGGAATAACATACTTATTAGAAGAATCTCTAAGAATCTAAAATCAGATCTTCTGGCTCTATTCAATCTTTTTCACTTGCCTCATCTAGCTCCTTGCGTGTCTCCTCCTCCATGCGACGAATGTCTTCCATGTTCAAGTCAATCCACTTGTCGATCCAGCAGAACAGCTGACGGTGGAAATTAGTGAACAAACGCTTCTCTTGCTGGGAAACAACAGAGGAAGATAAAGAGAAGTGTCATATTGGGGTTTGAAGAAAGGAAGCGCTTAAAGTGCAAATAATAAAATCAAGCTGTTTGATTATTACAGATGTTTTAATTCCATCCTGCTTTACTCTGTTTGTCCACTAGAGGCTGGTGCAGCCCATATGTACAGCATTAAAGTGAGTGGTACTTTTCCACTGTTACCTCCAGCTAGCAAGATGTGAGACACTGTTTGTACTGTATTCATGCAACATTTTCAAGACCGACATCATGTTAGTTTCTTGTCAACAATCCTTCCTCAGTGGCAGACCTTGACCTGTGGCTACCTGGATGTCATATGAGCGACAACCTGTACCACAGCTCGAACTGTAAACAAACCTTTTGAATGAAGTTCTCCACTTTATTTTGCAGGCCCCACCACTTGAATTTGACAGTGACCAGTTTGTAGGCACACATGTGTGGGCAGTCTTTCTTGTTAGGAAGCTCCTTCTGCAAGTGCACACACACATATACATACATGGTATTTTGACTTGTTAACAAAGATTCAGTTTCTTATAGTCAGGGCCACAGCCACAATTTTAAAGACATAATAAAGTCATAAGTTTCCCCCAACCAACAACAAACATTTAAATTATTTAGCTTTTTCATACTTTATAGATTCAAACAAGTTTTAAATTTTATTGTTTGTAAATAAAATTTCCCTATAAGCCAATTTAAAGGGTCTTTCTCTACAATACCAACAATTACACAGTGCAAACATATATTTATATACTTATTTATCTGTTTGTTGGCCTTAAATAGTCAAATATATTATATTGAGTTTAAAAAAATACTAGACCAACCAACAACTGCTGGTAGGTGCTTATATCCCTGGTTGCCAAAACTGACAAATTCCCAGAAAAAACAGTACCTCAGTTTCCACATTGACTGAACATTGTACTTCTTAAGAAACAAGTATGGGTGCTAATGATGTTTTTTATTTTGCACATCCATAATTAACAGTAATGTGGTCTTTATCAGAGGTCTTTGTTTATCATGTATTTCAGTGGTTTCAAATGTGTCTAAACCAACTGAGACATCTACAACAACGCGTACCTTCCAGTCTGGTCCTAAAGGGCCTCGTCCTGTCTTCACTGACTTGTACCTGCAAGGATCCTCCTCTGCCTTGTAGTCCTGGAGAGTGACAAGAAAACCCAGATTAAACAACATGGATGAGTTGACAAGGATGACATGGATGAATATGGATCTTAAAGCTACACATATTCACCTTCGGCTCCACTTGGCTTCTGTCCGCAATATCGATATAGACTACATCCACCTTCTTCCAGGTTTCTGCATCCAAACCATGTACCTGAAACAGAAGCACAGAGCACAGCTAGATACAGGCACAAGGCTCTGCAGGAGGTCCACATACAACAGAGAGACAAGACAAGCAGTTTTGCATGTTCATAATTATTTAATTAACATATTCATATATATAGGAGCACTGTCCTAAAGTTACTATGGAAGCATATAGCTAGGGGATTGTTTCTGTAGGTTGTTCATAAGAATTCACAGAGCAGTTGTTTTAATTAGAAAACAAGTAAACAGACTGTAACAGTGGGAAATGTTGGAATTCCACAACAGTGGAAGAAGTGAATAATAAACAAAAAAATACCCATACATGGTGTGAGATACAGTATGATTTAAAATCCAACATTAGCACACTTTCTTTGCCACATGCATTGTTTAAAGTCATCCCAAAAATACACATTAAAAATGAATCATGCCGCTCAAACACACACATACACCATGTCAGCTCATTACAGCCTTTACTAATTACATTTTCAAGGTGTCCCGTGTCAGGTTTGTGCCATGTCTCAATCTTGATCAGGAAGTTATCTTTCATATACTCGTTCTGCAGAGAAAGGAGGAATAGAAAGGAGTGAAGATGGAACGATACGTCTACAGAATAAAATGTAAGCGAGTGAAAAAAACATAAAATACAACTGTCAGTGCTCTCATACACATACACCAGCACAAACACACAGAGTAACAATGTCTGACTAGCCCTGCTGCGGCTGTTGCTGAAAAAGATCACATTTCTTTCTCAACGTTCAGGTTAATGTGCTCGCTCTATGAGCATCAGTTTGGTGTGTCAACATACATGAAATTTGTAAGCACAAAAAAGAAGAAAAAAATACTTACAGTGATAACTGCAGAGCCAGAAGAAAGAAAGCACAGGAGCAAACAGAGAGAAAGAACATATGAGAAATGTGACAGCATTTACAGTATTCTACAATGTACAGAGGACAAGAAAACCTACAGCTGTGTATGTAGGTTCAGGTTTTGCCTTTGACTGTCCCGTGTGTTTGTATGACAGATGGCTGTCAGGCAGCTGGTAGTGTGTGTGTAATCTCAGCCTGAAAGGCTCGAGTGATTGCATGGCTCTTCTCACTGGACATACAGTTAATTATTCAATGACTTCTTCAAGGTGACAGAGACCCAGAGACAGGGAGAGGGAGAGAGAGAGAGAGAGGGAGAGAGAGAGAGACAGGGAGACAGAAAGGTTCCCAGAGATCGACAATCTCTTTGACAGAGACTCCTATGTGACCTCTACGTAATTTGAGTCAATTGTATTCACACTTTTTCAGGATTAAGTGCAGAACATTATGTCCGTTCTAATGAATGACGGCAACAACAGTTATGTTGTCCTGTTGTTAGTTTTGTTTTTTCTGACAAATACATCAAAATGTGCGTTTTAAGTTATTATGGTGGGTAAGATTGCAGCCTACAGAATTATTCTGAGGCATTGCAAAATAGCTACCACTCCAGGTTTGGGTACATTGGGTAGATTAAGTGGTAGAGATTGTATCCTACGAGTCTGTGCTCAGTATTAAAAGCTAGCTTTGGAAGATGGGGCTGACTCATGGGACCTCTTTATATGGATCGATGGGCAGCCTGTTTACATTTTAAGCATAGCCAAAAATGTCCTGTTTTCATTTTATTGTGGACTGAAACTCTCACTACTGTATCTGCTGCTTGTTTTTTTACTTTAACTTTAACTTATCTTTTATTTCCTACATCATGTCTTGTACTAGTGTCAACTTCTGTAACCCTGAAATGACATGAGGGGTTTCTTTGCTGCCAGTACCTGTATCAGGTATGTGTGTGTGTGTGTGTGTGTGTGTGTGTGTGTGTGTGTGTGTGTGTGTGTGTGTGTGTGTGTGTGTGTGTGTGTGCTACCTGTGCGACAGTATGGGTATGCATTCCAGGCTTTCTCGTGGATGTTGAGAGCTGAAGATGGAGCCAACATTCGGACGAATGACGGCACTTTACTGCAGGACAGAGGAGTGAAGAACAAACCAAGGTAAATTTAATGTTTCTATATAGTTATTCTTAAAGGTGCAGCCAGTCATTCTGGAGAAAGATAGTTGTTGAGTCTCATTCACAGGTTGTCATATACAGACGCTTAGGCAACCAAAGGCATCAATATTTGATGACCTGGGAGCATGAACACAACCTGTTGTGTTGTGTGGCTTGCTCTGAGCCACTTGGTTTGTTTCCCATTTACTGTTACTCAAAGCATCAGTGTTTGACATCCTGGGACTCAACAATCAGCTATCTTTCTCCAGAATGACTGACTTCACCTTCACTACCACCACTACCTGCCAACAGGTCAGATTTGCCATAAAATCAGACAAAACGAGACGGGGGAAACGCTACTGCTTTTATCCACAGGGGCCGCCAGAATCAACACAAAATGAAAGTTCTACATTTCAATCAGGAGATATAAGATACATGGGGAAAAAACATAGTTAATAAAATTAAGGTTAGATTTTGGTGCACACTGCATGATTTAACTAATAGGGTCTGCATGCATGGGCACTAAAATAACACCCTCGCCTATTATCCTAATGGCGTCTTGACACTGGGGTTTGCGGATCACTCCCGTGATACAGGCCACAGTCCTGTGGCTTTGACTTTAAAGTGATGGGGTGATAGACTAAATCATAAAAATAAATGAATGGATCCAAGCCAAGAGCTGTGGCCTGAAATGAATGAAGTACTCTTCCTGAGTGAACGGACAAGTGCTTACCTCTGCAAATGATAGATTTTGTGTGTGTACTGTCCCTTCTCTCCCTCTTTCTCGTAGGGCTCATTTTTTAGCACCTCCACTCCTTCTCCTCCACCTGTCTCATTCTTACTGGCCTCAGCCACAGAGTACAGCTGGCCGACCTGGTACTGAAAAAAAGAGGGGAAAAAAACTGGTTACACTGAAGTCATGTCATCACATACATCATCTGATCTATTTAAATCTTAAGTGGTGGATTAACTTTTTCTTCTGATCCTTTTTCTGATCACTACCTTCTCTTTTCCTGGGAATCCTCATAATCTCTCCCATACACTCTTTGTCTTTGTTTTTTGTCTTCTTGTCCCGTCAACTTCTTTTTGTTGCACTGTTTTTGTTACCTCTTTCTCAAACTGAACACTCTCCCCTTCTTTCATCCCTGTCTTCCTCTCATTCCCCTTACTTCTTGATCTTGAGTGTGCATGTGAGTGTTTAAACACAGGACAATGGCTCCTTTCATTTCTTAATCACCTCTAATCCACCATATAACCTCTGCACAAAGCTGGGCCAAGTGCAGGCACACTACAACATCACAAAGATGGAACAAGTTGAATCATTTAATAAAGAGATTATAGATAGTATTTGTAGTCCATTGTCAACAACACCATTGTGTAAAATCAAACAATGAGAATATTATAGGTTTTATATTTACACACATACAACAAGGCAACAACATTCCTCATCTTTACAGAGGAAAACCACAATCTAGGAACCAGAGTGAATCTGACAATGACAAGTTTGTATTAGTTAAAAACCCATTAGTCATGTTGAAGCCTGTCACAACTGTTTTTTGTAGATTGTCTTTATAGCGCACAAGTCGCAACTGAGTTTGACAGAATGTCTTGGTTCAGAGTCAAAAGATGATCGAATGCTCTCCTGCCAAGGTTTAACTTCACTTTCAAGGAGAATTTTAGATGAGCAATGAAAAAGTGTATACTGTATATAGAGCACAGTTAAAGTTTAAGGATAGGCACAGTACAACAGAACAATAAGAAATATAAGTTTTAGAAAAATCTACCTATTTACCTGTATCTGTTCTTGTACTTTTGAAAAGCACAATAAATACACAAAAGTACAAATAAACTACAACGGAAATGGAAACAATTTCAAAAAAAGTCTTCAGGATGTAATGATTTGTGAACGGTTGGAGCTGCTGTCTGTGATGAAATTAGTTTATCTTCTACGTGGTTTGATAGGAGATTGGTGTATATAAACAATTTCAGAAAGGCATTAAAAAAACCTAACATACATTTTTTGGATCGCTTAAATGTTTTCTATTAAACTCAATTGTGCAATTTTACTCTAATGGGGTGCAGGGGTGGAAGTGCTTGATTAACCCTACTGTGGATTTTCTCACCTTAAAAGACACCAAAACACACATAAAATAATGTCCAATATATACGTGTGATGCTGTATGTGGCATTATTTCAGCTGGTTGTTAATGTAGCTGCAGTTTTTACTTTTTTGCAGTTCTAGGAAGCAAACACTTACAAATCAGTCTCATTTCGAGTTATTAAATTGTTAAAATGATTTTCCTCCATCAAGAACATTTTCTCTTGTATCAATTAATTTGACTGGAGGAAATTTCAAAGCTCTAGGCACAGATTTCCCTGACCAGTAACAGAACAGCCGTAGGCAAGCCAAGAACTGATTAGACTTTTGTAGTAATTCCAGATAACTCATACGTCATACATTAAGAAGGATGGTGAATTGAGGACAAGTCCTATATATCTGCAGTGGAACTGGGTGGCTAAACCTTGATCAATGCCTTCACTTAATGGCAACCCACTCTGTTCATTGCTAAACTGTGAGCAAATTATTTTACTGACTTTTGGAAGAAGGTGTCCAAAAAAAAGCATCAGTAAAAGGTGAAAGGTGACTATTCAGAGACTGCTCCTTTTAACCATGACCTTATGACCTTTTGTGTGCTCCACAGCAGCAATGGAAAACAAATATATTGTATAAATAACAAAGATTTAAAGAGTCTGTTCCCTCAAATAAGCTGCAGATACCACATCTGCCGACAGAAATAAATGGGATGCAGGAACAGCAAAGCCTCCTGGGTAACAGTGTTGGACAAATATAATTCAATATTTGTGAGGTGAGGCCATGTTCTGTTATACCAGAACTTCTTTCTTTCACAAAAATAAAACAACTGATAATGCTTTAGGTTAAATACGGCTCCTGGCAGGAAGTTAGCAGACAGGAAATCCAATTCAGTAAATTTTCCAGGGGTTTCAACAGCTGGAACAGTCTCATTCAACATATACGCTCCAAAACAAAACCTCTGTTCAAAGAGATGAATCCAGAGTCGTATGTAAAGATACAACTGTTGAGCTTTTTGAAAGAATCAAATCAAATCACATTGTGGGCAAAAAGTGAAATAATGGAAATCAAATGGATGATGGATTGAATCACTACTCCCCTGAAGTATTCAGCTGGACTGCAAACCTCCATATCTGGTAATTGGTTGTAAATAACTGAAGACTGCTGCTTCAGAGAGTCAGGATGTACAGAGAGAGACAGAGGAGCTGAAGCTCTGGAGGGATGTGATTCACAGGGGACGTTACTCAACTGTATTCAGGCTTTGTGGAACATATTTTAGTCAAATAATTCTTTCTTAGTACTTTTCCAGCATCTAATTGTGTCATAGCATGCAGACTGTCATACAGTTTCCAGGCCTGCTGCTCTAGAGGAAACCTGCCTCATTATGTAGAGATATATGATCAAGATAAAGGCTATTAAGACACAGTTAATGAGAAGCAACATATTGCAGATCTAAAGCCAGAGGAAATGCAAGGAGATGAAATCAGTGTGATGTATTGGTCAGTCCACTGCCACGTGACTTTAAGGTGGACTGGAAATAAAAATATGTAAGTGTAAGCACAGATCTGATCAATCAGAAAATTATTCTAAATATCAGATTTGGCTTCTTGAGGTCCTGTGACTGAAGTGGCACAATGATTAGTGGCAGTTGCTGTTTCAAAGAATTGCATCAATGAGAAGAAACTTGACTTTCTATATTAATGCCAGACAAAGCAGAGATGTTAAAGGAAAAATGTTACAGTTTTAAATCTTGAAAATAGGTAAGGCTGCAACTCATTATTACAAAGATGTTTTATTATATTCAGTGTATTCTATAATAAAAACACGAGGATGTAAAGAAGTAATATGTCATTCTGATCCCAGCTGCAAACCGGTTATCCAGTTTTTGAGCCCTCACTGGTGCTTTACACTCATACTTGGAGCTGTTTATAGTGTGTAAGAGCAGATTAAGTGCTTGCTGGCCACAGTTGTCAACACATATTTATTTGTCATTACTAAACAGCACAGGTGAAATGTTTCTACCAAAAGCAGATTACTCTCATGTATGTGCAAATAATGCATAAATGTCAGGTTGACAGCGGGGGGGGTGTACAGAGGTAGTCATGGAAGTACAGTTTCAAGTGACTCATTTACAATGCAGGCCTGAATAGAGGAGCAAACTGCAATAGAAATGAGGATAGCAGGGGACAGAGGGACACAGGAAAGAGGACGAGGACAGTGAACGACTGCTGACTGTGTTGATTCAATCTATCCGATTGAAACTCTTTTCAATATGATGGAGTTTTTCTCACAATGTAATCACTGCTGCATATTTTTGCAGTGGCAGTGGATATGTTATAAAAAAAAACATGTATGTCTCATTTATGTGTTACAACATATGCACAACTTAAAAATAAACATATAAAAGTCCAAAGGTTACCCACAAAAGAGCAACTATAGTGGTGGCAGACACTTGTCCTTCACTTTTCCAAAGAATCAGATAAAAGCGGAACCTTGAACCATTTTAGCTAACACACACACACACACACACACACACACACACACACACACACAAATATTAATGAGCATGCATTCACAAAGAATTTGCCCAAACATGATGCAAATACCCCACTTGCACTTTACCTGTATGACTTCATTTATTTCAGAGAAATATACTCAAATGAAACTTACCTCTTCCACAGAGATAGGAAGAATCACTCGACTGGAAGAGAAGGAGAAATTAGGGAAGTTACTCAAAAAATCAGGAAGCAACAATCAAACTTTGCTCCTCCTGAAGTTGTATAAGTGTGTGTCTTGAAGCTATGAAGGCTTGATTTGGTAAAGCTAAATGTTGTTGATGTTGGTTAACTTAACATAGATTGGACAGCAGGCAGGTACAGTCATTCCATTCAAACCAAATACAGTGAAGAAAACATGATGTCAAGATCCAAAGGATTGCTTTTGGATCACTTTGCCTTTAAATTGATTAAGCTCAAAATGTCTGTTTTCCCTGTGAACAATCCAACACAGTGTGAGTGTTGTTTAAGCCTGTAATAAATTAGAGGCATTATAATATGACATTCATCATGCTTCAATTTGGTAATAATGAACCACCTCTGTGGACAGGATTAGCCTGGAGAAATCCTGTGAGTGACACACTGACAACAAGATCTGACATTTTTAACCATTCAGCTCAGCACAGATTTGGACACCGATTATCTGACAAACATGCGTCGTTTCCATGATGCTGTCTCAGAGGACTCCTCAGCTGAGCTGGAGAACACCAGCAGGGATTTGTTTGTTTCTTTTTTTTTTTTTTAGATGAATTTTACTTCTTGCCGAGCAAAGAGCAGACATTGCATTCAGTGTTATTGCAATTGTTTGGCATGATTATTATTGGCATTATGTTTTATTAACAATAATTATAGGATAATAAAATCTAATGGAACCAAAAAAACCCTGCCTGTTACGTAATATTAAATTCACGTTTCACTTTGACGCTGAGTGATCAGGAGAGAATAAATGATCTATTCTTTGCTGTTCTGAGGCGAAGATGAGAGTATGTTTTACTGGAGCAGGACAGCAGCAAGATCAAATGCAAAGACTGAGATGTGAAGCCTGGCTGAGCAGTTCTTCTAAAAAGGTTTTTAACCATTTAACAATATATTTTATAGGAGAATGAGGAGAAATCGATGATCATTATTATTATTTTATAGAATCGGGACAAGGTGTGGATAAGGTTCAGGGTGGTCACTTTTGTGTACTAAGCAGCTGTTGATTCTTTGTAGCACTTGGAGCTACACATCTGAATACTAAAGGGCCCATACATTTTTTTCAGTTATTAAGTATATCAACATGTAACCACTTGTTACAATAAATGAAACTATTAATTCCATAACTAAATAAAAGTTCCCATTATCTAAGACTACAAAGGCTACCCCGCCCGGAGCAAACCAACAAGCTGTTTATTCACCGACTGCACTTCCTCCTCCTGATTCTGGTATGTATGTACACCCGTGCCTTTGATCATTATGTTCTCTAATTTTCCTGGCATTTTACACATTTTAAAGTTTTTAATAATTTCTAACGTTTTTATAGTTAACAAAAACCGCTTGCATGTTTCTGCAGATCTGGTGAAGACCAGCACCTCCTAGTGGATAGAAACTAAATACACATCCAAGTAAGCTAATGTCAAAAAGCATGTGTACTATATTTCTCTTGGATAAATAAAGCCTAACAATACGATTATTCACATACAAAATGCATTTTGTGGTTCATGTGTTTGTGTTGTTTTGTCCATTGCCATTTTTTGTTTGTGGCAAACATTTTTTCTGTTTCACCACTGTGTTTACAAAAGAGTGTTGGGAAATGGAACCGGCTCCCACTGGCACACATAAGTCGCACGCCACCAACAAAATGATGACATCCACCCCAGCACTCTTTCAAAATGAGCCAAGAACAAATATGTTTTTGTGCAAAGTTGGACTGACAGCAGGCCCAGTGAAAGTCAAAATCAAAGATAATGGTGAAACTTAAGGCTAGGAGTGTGCGTACAGTATGCTGCACTACAAAACCAATGCAAAAAGGAAATAAGAGTGAAAAGTGGCTTAGTAATCCATTAATAGTGCAACAAGAATAAGGAAAGCAACCTGTTACTCTTGTGTAATTCTCTTTAATTTACATGTATGATGAAATACACAATTTAGTAGCCATTCTCTGCAGTATTTCCCTAAGAAATCTATTACACAGACACTTGCCATTATGATTTGATGATCAGTGTTTCACCTTTAAGGTAACTGTAGGTTAATGTGTTGATTCACACTGCTGCTTTGGCTAAATAATATCAGAAATCCAATAACATTCCCACTGATATTTGCATGTAACTCCTATGTGTAATATAATCTACTCTATAATCTGTAATAAGAACCCCCATTGCACCTTGGTATGGATTACAAGCAGTCAGGAATAACATCAAAGTAACACATTGCTGCACAACTTATTGCCGGTGACGGAGGACTCAAATTGGTCAAAATGAGTGAGGGTGCAAGTTCATGGCAACTTTAGGTTGTTTCGGTTTTATTCATTGATAATGTAGCCCCAATCCCCTTCACAGATCTACCCTCAAACACATACAGTATTAACATGTGAAGAAAGACTCATGCTACACACATGCGCACTCACAATTTCTGAGCTTTTATAATAGAAGCATGACTTAAACACACTACACTACCTCCTTTAAAGTGTGCACATGTACAGTAGGCAGCATTGTTGATTGTTTTGTAACTGCGATGTATGCCTACATTCCATAATCCTGCATCCCACTCGCCACTGAATGTAATCTGGGTCTGAGTCCCAGCCAGACATTGGACGGGAGACCAGATGCTGCAAGGAAGGCAGAGACAGTGAAAACCTGTGATGTCAAATGACAGTATTGAAATACAACTGAACTAACAGCATATTTTCTAATTTTCTTTACATTGAAGTGTTATAGCTATATGTGTCGGCTAGATAAAATATTTATTTCACACCTTTTTCTCTAAACCAGTCTTGTATTGCTTATTATGGTGTAAATGTTAAAAAGAGCTTAATTTATTACTAGTATTTGGACTTTAGTTAAACAAGTCAAGTCACCTCAGTGCTCCCTCCCTCTCTCTTTCTCTCTCTCCCTCTGCACATCTCCTTGGTCTAAAGGTCTTGACAGGAAGATCAGGTGTCTCTCTGTTGCTTCAGAAAACAAACACCCCTCTTCTCTCCGGCATTCTTTCCTGTCTCCTCTCCATTTTTTTTTCAGTCTCTACTCTTTCGCTGCTTCTATTCTATTCTCTTCATCGTGTCGTATATTGCAAAGTGGCTCTTGTATTGCTGAACACCTGCCAAAGCTCGTGGAAGTGGAGAAAAAGTGGACCAGGAGTGATTTAGGTCAGTGGTTCAGGTGAGCAGCACAGAGTCAAAAAAACCTGTCTGTGCTACAGCAGGACATGGATCAATTCACTGTCTCTTGACCCCCATGATGGTATCTTGGTGCATGTGTGTGTGCATGTACAGGCCTCTCTGTGTGGCTGTGTGTTGACAGGGTGCATTCAGCATTTAATCGTGACCGATTTAATTAATTTCCAGGCAGACTGCTGAGACCCAGACTCTCCCTAATCACTTCAGATCTTTAGCCATGCCATCACTCTCATCGTGAGCTTTTTGTGCTGGGCCATTAATTGATTAAAGGCGTGTGGTAGAGAAATCAAGACAATAGCAAATGCTGATAATTTACGCCAAACTCTGATCAGTATAGATTTTTCATCAGATGTTATTTTTAGGCTGAAGCTGCCGATAGCTGAAATGTGTGCCATATAACTGTAGTGTAGCTCTGACCTTGCCATAGAATATATAGAAACATATGAAATATTTAATAGATAATAAGGTGCAGAAGCATCTAAAACTATACTGTAACACCAAAAAGGTGGAGGAGACCAGACTGATGACTTTTTTTTTTACAGGTGGGTCACAAGCTACTTGAGGCAAAATGAGTCTGGTGCACACTAGTTAGGAGAAGAAAAATGAAGGAACCACCATCCTGTCTGAGGTGGACAACTATGACTAATATCAGTTTTTTTTTTCATTTGAAGGCCAATATCATCCCAATCCAACGGCCTTACCCTTATTCTACCCACCAGCTGATTCTATGTAGGCCTCAGTCATTTATCCTTCCAGCACACCGAGGCCTGCCAAAGCAATGTGTTAAAGTAACGTGTTAAAAATACCCAAATCTTCCCCTTTGCACGACACGATCCTACTTTACATGCCATCCCGTCCTCTCGGCCCCAGCTGTCACATTCTCAGAAATGTCTGACTGGTGCGTCAAAACCTCGCCATTTGCCATTTCCCCCCATACCAAAAAAAAAAGCGTTGCAACCATCACCCCTACCTGCCCCGCTCCCACCCCTTCTCCCCTTGAGCATCCCTCCACAACTCCCCTATCTCCATTCCTCCGGAGGTAAATGCGGGAATGCTCCCATCACTCGTTTCACCTTCACCGCGCATCAATAACATGGCCACAGCGGCTTACAGCAGGGATGGACGCTGGCACGGCACGGCACGGCTTACATACACCAGCCATCTCTACCTCACCGCCACCACCAACACCAACACTCCTCTCGAGCATCCGTCATTTTCGCACCAGAGCAAATGACATTTTACTACCCGCTAGAGTCAAAGCCTCCCGATTTCACTTGATGCAGAAATGTGAAGGGCACAGCCATCCTGCGCCGGCTGCTGATGCAACTACAGCCGCTTTATTATCTCTCGCTTTATTCGGTGAATGCTTTAAGGTGATGGAGTGTCGTTTGCATGAAAAATGATGACGGACATGTAGTCAGAAAGATACGGGATGTCGACATCAGCCTGGCCGCACTCTTGTAATTCCACTCTCGGGCGACTGGCCACAATGTCAGCGCTGCGAAACCATGACGGATAAACGCGCACACATTCTCCTCTCTCTCTCTCTCAAACACACACACATGCACACACTTCTACTTACAATTCCTTTATGAGCATTTTTTGGCGGTGCGGTGTATCCCAGAGGGAAGCGGCTCAATACGGGTCCAGAAACAGGGTCGATCCCTCCCTCCGATAGTCTCTTCTTTCTCCGCTTGCTTCTCTCCCACCTCTCCCCCTCTATGTCATTCTACCTCCACAGTCGCTTATTTTCTTCAAATTCACTTCCTGATCGGGGCCGCGGCGCGGCGTTGCTGTTGCGCGCAGAGCAGCGAGGCCTGCAGAGCAGACTACACACAGAAAGAGATGGTTCAGCAGGAGGTGGTTTCTGGTCGTGGTGGGTCCACACAGCCATAATTACTGAAAGGGCCAAATTGAGACATCCATTATTGTGTATGTATAATAAATAAATATAGGCTATAGGCTACTTCAAGTTCAAGTAAAAAAATGTTTGTATTAAAACTGCAGACTAATTCAGAAGGATCTGCTAAAAGCCCATATTCTATAGGAGAGGCAGATTACAGCAGGTTAAGAAAACATAACACAGACATATTATGAATTAGATAAAGCAGGCTGGATAATCCACACCTGTTTAGATTAGAATCATGTAAGATTGAAGAGCAATGCATATACTATAACAGGGAGTGTGTAACACAGATACACAGCGGATTAAATGAAAAGATAAAAACCGACAAACCACCAGATAGAAATAAATGGTACAGGCCTCGAGCTTCTCTGAACCGGTTTTCTTGAGCGTGTGCTACACCCTCTGCGTCATCGCTGTCACGGTGACGTAGAAGGGTGGTTATTCACCATCAGAGAATATATGGGTATGACACGGGGACCACCACCGCTGGCACAGACGCACGGTGCGTCAGCTCTCTAAACCCTTTACACAATAATTCTCTGCATCCAGAAATTCCAAACTCATTCCTATCCACTAGATCTCTGCCTCTGATGACTGGCACATGTTTTATATCCCAACCACTCTCACATATGTGTATTCCTAATATAAGTTATATGAATTATAAGATGAAATCGTGAAGGTAAGCTTGTACAGTCACCTTGATACATTTGCAGAGCAACAGCAGGCTGATCTGTAATTTCATCAAGGACCCCACGGTGGTCCTCTGACCAACCTTTGGTTCACCACCCATGACTCTATAGGATGGTGTTGACGCGTGATGCGACGACAAGGCATCACAGGTCTCTAATCCAGTCCCAAGTCGGCGAGATCGCGTGTGTGAGTCTAAAATTATGTAACAGCACACTGCCGCTGTATTTATAGCGCATCTGTATCCGTCTGCCAACATCCGCTTATCATTCCTCCGTCTCTTCATCTGTAGGATCGCTTCTACCTCCTGTAATGACTGTACACTGTAGTATAATCTATCTATCTATCTATCTATCTATCTATAGGGTACCAGCATGAGTCCAGTCAGGTTTATGCCATCTAAAAATAGCAGGTTCTCATATAGATATTATCTTTACATTTAGAAGGATGGTATGCTAATAGGAAGTAATATGGATATACTTTACTATTTCTAAATTGTATGGTTTGGCCTGCCTGTTTTTATTTGCCTTAGTAAATTATATGATCAGATAGAGCACAACAAACAAAATGCACTTATAGCCCATAATTCAGAAGCATATGATCACATTGTTCAACAGAACGTGATGTGAATGGCCCACTAGTTGCTTCACAGTGAGTTTATAAGGCAGTGGTCTCATGTTGCTTCTTTGAACTGTGTAGCAGAACAAACCACAGCCAGTAAACAGCAGCAGCCTGCAGAGCTCCAGGAACCACTGTCCCTGATGTGAGTGACGTTCTCAGGTGACGAGAGGGGCTGAGGTGTCAAGTGATAACCATCTGCTGAAGTGTAGTATCAGGTGGCAGAGCCGGAGTGCTCACAGACCTGGTAAAACCAAACATGTAGTGAGAGTAGAGGCCAGGAACATCTGGTGGAAAAATGACTTACTATAATCTCACCTCTGAACTAGCTTCCTTGGGGACATGGAGACAGGAGACACTCTTCACTCTAAAACACTGGTGTTAAAGCAGATTAGCAATTTATATGTGAGTACACGGTGGATAAATAACTCATATCCACCTGTTAAAATTGTGTATTTATATAGAACTACATAGAGCTGAAAGCAAACATCAGTCTCAATAAAGATCAGAAAGTGGGTCTATAATTTTTTGCAGGTTTGGTTTAAATGTTTGGGAAATTAGTTTCTGGTCTTTGTCAGTGTGTTTCAGATCCTGGTGTCAGTAAAATCTATAATTCAGTTGCAAGTAGGCCACAATCTATTTTGCTTTCTTTGTCCATTGTGATGGCCATCAGAACATGCTGCTATAATACTACTGACCTCTGCTGGTCGGTTGCACAACAACCTAAAACCCCATACACTGCAAATGTATGTAATGTACTGCAGATTCTTTTATACACCTTTTCTAAAATTATGCCTAATTTTCTTATAAACATAAAATGAGTCTTCAAATGAAGGGCTATAACACTTTGAAAATCTCAAAGGGACACTGTTTTAATCTAAAAACTGCTGAACTTTCAAATTACAAGCCTTACACTTGATCGCCATAGGAACCAGTTGCACCCTGATGAAAGATCAGTGGGCTTACGCCACAGTTTTGTATTTAGGATTTTGAGAATCAGAACAGCTATCAGAACACCGATAGTACTGCAGAGCAAGAGCATTTCTCATCAGTAAATGCTTTATGCAGTCATAACAATATTCCTGCATATGAAAACAGCAAGCTGTCCCTGCACAAGAGAACTGGGTTGAGATCTGCTCTGTTATAATGCCACCACACTCGGAATGACTAAGTGAGTGTTAAATTGCCACAGTTTCTGCGACAAGGTAAGAATTACACAGATACAGTTACACAGAGACATATAATGTAGCCTGGTGAGCAGCGAAAAAAAAAAAAATGAAAAAAACATGAAGAAGAGCAACCATTTAAAGAGATCAACTCAACTTTATTAACCCCCACAAATTCTTCCACATTTAAACAGGAATGCCTGCACAACAAAACACCTCTACATTAGCCTCAATGATACAAGGAAGAGCTCTATGCAAACGACACAGTTGAGTCGGCAGCACAGCGCAATTTAAATACATCATTAAATTTAGTTTTGGAAAAGTGAGTGTAAAATAAAATAAATACGCGTTTGAAGGTAGGATGAGCTCAACATTAAAGTGGGACTATTTCTGTAGAGAGGCATCGGGAGAGAAGTGCTGTAAGGAGCTGACGTGTGATCTGTGTGATTAATGGTATAAAGTGCTGAACAGTAGGTACATAGACTGAATGAAATGCTGGCTTTAAGCTAAGGCATCTTACTGATGATGATTTTATGGATAAAGGTAATGGAGAGGTTAATTGCATCTAAATGTTAAAAACCACGGATGCATAAATGGTATTACCTTGTAATGCAAAGGGGAAACAGTTATTGCTGACATGTGCAAAAAGTTCAATAGAAGACGCTGCCCAATGAACACGTTTTCAAAAGGCACTCCTGGTAAAGTATAAAAAAGAAAACTAAAGAAAACAGAAAATAAAATAAATACTCTAAACATAAATGACATTAAGCAAAACATAAAGGTTTGTTTGATGTCCCTCTTATAGAATACAGCCCCAAAAAACACTGATATTCATCCAGTACTACAGCATATTCTAAGCTACAGTAGTTTTATACTGCAACAACAATTAATCATTATAACTGTCTTCTCTACTCACCCAAAAAACATCAGCAATAAGGCTCTTCTCTCCTCCCTGTCGCTCATTAATGCCATTCAGTCCACACTTACCTCATTCCATCTAGCAAAAAAATCCAGCTGATGAACAGAAAGGCAGCACCATGTAATGGGTTTTTACAATCAGGATGATTTAAAGTCAACACATATTAAAGACAAGAAGAACACAACACTCATAGTAATGGGATTGCTCACTTATAATGGTGAGGTTGGTTGTGTGGGTGACATTTAGAAAAGGTGGAAATTCATCGGCTTTAACAAGCTCTCTTTTTTCCGTTTTCTGCTCAAATGGGGAATATTAAAGCAGTCTTATGTGGAATGCAACTGCACCAATGTGCCGCTCGGAGAGGAGGGAATAAAAAGAGAAGTCAGAGGATTTGGGGGGAATGCAGAGGGCTGATGCCTCTTTCCTTTCACAGTCTTTCCTCTCTCTTCTTCTCCCGTTTTCACTTTCCTCCTCAGCGACATGTCCAATGTACTTGTTTCCGTGAAAACTGCAGCATCAGTTTATCTTCGTGCGATTTTGGGAAAATGGAAGTGGCAGTCTGTTTGTGTGTGTACTCAATAAAGACATACCACAGTTGTACTGTATGTTTACATGTGATACTAGTTAAATAGTTAGGATTTCAATTGTTCTTTTGTAGGCATATGTATGCAGGTATTACTGGATTGCCAGTGTTTCTCAGTAAAAAGATCTTTCTTCATCTTCTGTTCATCTACTTTCCTCTAGACATAGGCCTCAGGGATGTCGGAGCCGTTGACTTTGATGTAGATCTTAAATTCTTCCTCCTTCTGCTGCTGCTCTTTGTCGAGCGTCCGTCTGTAGCAGAACAGGTAGAGAGGCAGCAAGAAGCCCAGCATACTCACAGCAAAGAGTCCAACATTGACCTGGAGAACAACAACAGAATTAGCCACGCCCGAGGGGTTAATATGTTTGTTTTAGGGTTTGTGTGTGTGTGTATTCATACCCAGAGTGGGTCTCCCCCCAGGGGCCCCATCATAGCCAGAAACAGAGGTTGCTGCAGTAGAGAAAACACAGCACTGACCAGAGACTGCATGCCTGTTAGACTGCCAAACTGGGAGGAGGGATACCTGGAGAGAAGGAAGCGATACATTTAGTTTCCCGGTTTGAAGCTGAAAATGGTGATGTGTGTTTGTGCTTGTGAGTGTGTGTGAGGTTAGAGGTACATTGAGACTTACACAGCAGCATAGAGGCCGCCAACAGCAGAGTGAATGAATCCTCTCACCACAGTGTGTAGGACGAATGACACAATCTGAGGAGAGATCAAAATAGAAGAAATTAATATTCAATATTCATCAGTTAGTTTATGAAGGCCTTTCCTGCTGAGAGTTAGATGAGATTGATACCACTTTCAAGCGGATCACTCACCTGTAGGGGGAGATTGGGCACAAGGCATGTGATCCCAAATGCCACTAAAAGGACGTTGGTGAGGATGAATGCTCGCAGGGCATTGGTCACCTTCTGGGTCTTTTTGTCTCTCCGCTTTTTCTTTA